AGAGGGCGCGGAGACACCAGACGTGCTGCCGCAGATTGAACTGCGCAAATTGGACGATGTGACGGATTGCTTTCTCCAGGCTGCGGCGTGGGTCAGTTGGGAGGCAAATCGTTTGCAGTTGCGGGATGTAGTGGAGCAGCAGCGGCGGCGGCGGGAAGAAGACGATGCGGCCCTGGGGAGTGTAGACGATGCGGTGTTGTTGCATATGATGAGCGTGATTAGCGGACAAGCTCGAGATTGAATTTACAAGGTTTACCATGCCATGCCACGGGACGGAGGAGATGGAATATTTTAACGTAGTATATAGTAGGTAGCACAGCATAACATAGAAAAGTAGGCATGGCTTGCATTACCAGTAGACGTTGGACAAGGTGACGCGCAAGATCAACCTGCCGTACCATCCTCGCAGATTAGGCAAAACTTGAAATCACAGTCCTTGAAGTCACACTCTTGTAATTACCATGGCTAATCATGTTTAATTAGAAACTTGTACATGTAGGAGTTTGTCAATGTGCAGAATAACCCCTTCCATCCAACAAAGTCCCGGTACACTATAACGTAGCCCTACACACACCCACAACCCCCACCCCACTCCAGTCTAATCCAGCCCAGTTAAACCCAAACGCCCCTCCCGCTAACTCACCCCCACCTTACACCCCAAATTCCTCATGAAACCTCATTTCCCAATTCTTTTTCACCTATATAATACTCCTACTGCGCCAAAAACCCCAGAAGTCTCTAATTTCTGCACAAGTCGCAGTCTCGGTGGCGCAATGGTAGCGCGTTGGACTTCTACTATTGTTGAAAATAAACGGGGATGAGCTTGTTTGTTTGCTTGGTGATCCAAAGGCTGCGGGTTCGAGCCCCGCCCGAGATGCTTTTTGTTTTTTTGGCAGTTTTTTTGTTTTGGCAGTGTTTGGGTGGGGTTAGGGGGGAGGAGAGAGAGGGGGGTTTTTTTGGTTTGTGGGGGGAGGAAGGGGGGGGTTAGGTAAGAGGTGGGTGGGTTGTGGAATGTGCTATACAGATGGGTTGGTAGAAAATAAGCACATGTGCATGCCTATGCGTATAATACACCTGCACAAGAGCGTTCATGTCTGTGTATAATAAGACTTGAATTTATATTCATCTTTCCGCTCAATACCTGCGTCTGCCATTCCATAGAGGCTAACCGGCTACCCAACCAACAAAAAACATCTCCCCGACAATACATACAAACGAACAAAGTGCGTCCACCCAAATCCGAAATCATCATCACGTTTGTGTAGCGTAACCCAGATGTAGCCAGAGAATTTGTATCCTTTAACTTTCATCTCCCCCACAGAAGATTTAGCATGAGAAATTGAGAGACCTGGAAAACACATGACGGCTAGTTTTTTCCTTGTTTCCTTGCGAGCGTAATTCAACTTTGCCAGCTCCTCTCTTTTGCATAGAAGAGAGGTTTTTCTTTCCGACATGGACGCAAGCGTAAGCGGCGTGGCAGCAATAGTAGATACGTAGCCTGCTGGCAGGAAGATCAAAGTCATGAAAAATCTCGATTGGGATCTGATGTGATGGTATATTATGACATTCAACCATCGGTATCATAGGAGAAAAAGAAGAAGAAAAAACAGAAGAGGGAAATTCAAACACAGAGCAGAGCCCAGCCCAGACGTGTCCAGGAGAAGAAACAAGTAGAATAAGGTATTTTTTTAGTCATATGCGTGTATAGTCCAGTCAATGGCGCTCGCGCTCCTGGAACCGTTCCACGGGATCGGCAAACGAGCGCGACAAGCCGACAGAAGCCCAAAAGTCGTCGCTAATGTCGGCGCGACGCGAGATGCGCTCGAGCAGCGAGCGGGCATCGCGAAGTTGTTGATCGAGGAGAGATCCCAGGGCGACGGTGTCGTCTTCTGGCGCGCTCGGCTGTTCCTCTGCTGGACCATCTAGCTGCTCGATATGCGTGGATTCGTCGTTTGTGTGAGAGGCGGGCGCGGGCAAGTGATAGAAGCTGCGGACGTAGGCGCTTGCGTCTCGCGATCGTTCGAGCACCCGGCGCGAGTAGCGTTCCGAGTCGCGCATGGGAGGCTCGTTGGAGAAGTAGGACGGGCGCATGCGGCGACGAGATTCGGCGGCGTCGATACGGCGCCGCCGCGCCATTCCTTGGTCTAGGTGAATCTGATGTTGGTGTCTGTATTGGGCAAGCGCGAGTTGCTGTGCTCTATCGGCGGGCTCGTCTTCCTCCGTGTCAGAGGCGGTGCCGTCCTCGGAGGTATCGCATGCGCGCAGGAATTGCTCATTGTGGGGTAGCGAGTCTCTTCGCGAGGGGACTGTGAGGTGTGTTTGAGATGATGTGGCCGAGTTGGAGCTACCGGCCCGAGAGCTGGGATGTGAGTTGGAGAAGGAGGCAGACGCGGCGGCGGATGCAAACGACGACTCGGCCGTGGGCGCGACGGGATCGGGGACAACAGAGCCCAGAAAGGCATGCCATGGTGGATGGTCGTCTAGGGGGCTGATGCTGCGGTCGCGGTCGCCCAAGCCATCGAGTGTGGAAACAGGAGTCCACGACTCGCGCAGGGAGCTCGATGGCAGCGGACCGTCGGCAATCGTACGGCGACCCATTCTGCGCAGCGGTGGGAATCCGACGGCGTTGTTGTCGCCATTGTCGTGCGCATCCTCAAAGCCATCCGGCGTGTCGCCCCTTGTTGCCGAGTCGGCGCGGGCATTCCATGAGCGCATCAAGCGCGGCGCTCCAGCGCGAGTGTAGTTGTGTATGGCGCTCTCATCGCGCTGTAGAGTAGGCGGCTCCCTCGAGGACTCGTTGGGGTTGTTGCTGCTGCTACTGTTACCGCGGTAGTCTGTCCTCGACACCTCAGGCACAGGCGGCGGGGCCAAACGCGTGCGCGCATGTGACGGGCGCGCAAAGACTTCTGGCTGCGCGCCCCCTCTGCGGCTTGGAAAGACGAGGAAATCGCTGTCGGATGCAGTGTGCGATGACGGCGATCTGTGAGGTCGGGCGCGACGCCTGATGGGTGATCGCTGGCCAGACAGGTCGGCTCGAAGCACGTCTTTTCCCTTGGGCTCGTCCCGTTTAATGTTCCATCCGATTGGAATGCCCATGGCGCATGAGATTTGAGAGCGTGCAGGTTGTGAACAAAGAAAATAAAATGGACGGGCTGTGGTGATGCGTGTGATGGCGTTGGATGATGGAACGCGTCTGGCGGGCGGTTCTCGCTGATGGGGGCGGGCGGCTGATGGATGGGGTCGACGAGAGAGAACTAGGCGAGGCGGGCGCAGGGTTGCCACTGCCTAAAACAGCACAGCGTGAGGCTGAACCTGGGGAAGGCGTTCTCGACGCACTTACCTGCTCTGAGTCTTCTCTCTCTCTCTCTCTTTCTCCCCCTCTCTCTATTTTACTCATTCACACATATACACACACACACACACTCTCTCTCTCTCTCTCTCCCCAGAGCCCGAGTATGTCGGGTCAGAAATAAGTGTGCCTGACAATGTCTTTCACTCCACTGCAAGTGCATTGCCCGTCTTCCTAACATACTCTAACTATGATCGCCAAGACTTACCTAATCGCCTCTTTCGGGACAAGGCGATGGCACCTGCAGCTCAGGTCCACTCACTGCCTTGAGTCGACACCTTCTACCACAGCGACGTTTCAGATCGCCAAAATTAATTCTAGACACATTGTTTGTCTTGACTCCTGGTTGCCTATGCCATTACCATAGAGAACATCAGCTCAAGCGGCCATGGCCAAGATTCAGCCCGGATTGGACCGCATCAGCCAGCTCTTAAAAAATATTCACTTCCCATGGAAGGCGATACACGTTGCTGGCACCAATGGCAAGGGGTCCATATGCCATTATACATCGTCTCTTCTTACCAAGAAAATGGTAAGATGCGGTAAATTCACCTCGCCGCATCTGGTAGATAGGTACGCATGCTGCTGCTACATGGGCTTGGTGTGATGGCTTGTTAACGCGCCTATCCAACAGATGGGATTGCATCTCCATCCATGATAAGCCTGTCGATGAAAGTCTTTTTAGGAAGATTGAACAGCATTACACGGGACTGAACGACAAGGAAAACATCAACGCCTCACCATTTGAGATCCTCACCGCCACTGCTTTCCATATCTTTAATGAAGAACGTGTTGACATCGGCATAGTCGAAGTGGGCATGGGCGGGAAGCTCGACGCCACCAACATCCTTCAGAACCAAATCATTTCCGTCATATCGAAGATTGCACGAGACCATGAAGCCTTCCTCGGCACTACACTGCAGGAAATCGCTCTGCATAAGGCTGGTATCCTCAGGCCAAGCATACCTTACATAGTCAATCCTTCAAATGAATGGGCTGTCCATGATGTGATCGATCAATATGCCAAAGAGATCGAGGCCGGTCCACGCCTCACTGGCGATTCTCCGGAGACGCAGCTGTTGCGTGCCACACCAGGTTGGATCCAATTCGCCCGGCATAAACAGCCATTTCAGCGGGACAATGTAATCATGGCCATAGTGGCAGCCAGAGAAGCAACCAAAAGCTTACAGTTACATTTCTTCCCCAGTCAGATCGCTTCGTGTTTGAAGGCAATAAGAAAAGTCCCAATTCCCGGGCGTTGCGAAGGTGTCTATGCACAACCCGTCTTCGGCGAGCACATGAAACTAGGACGAAGGATTCTTCTAGACGGAGCTCACAATGCGAATGCAGCTAGAGCGCTCAATGAGCATGTACATGCACATGAGAGGATGAGGACCATCGATGATCGGCGTCCTCCAATAGGTGGTTGGCCAGTCACATGGGTTCTTGCCATGACAGAAGGCAAAGACGCACGGTCATATCTAACGCAATTACTTAAGCCAGGCGACAATGTAGTGACTACGTCTTTTAGCCCAGTCGATGGCATGCCCTGGGTCAAACCCATGGATCCAAGAGAATTGCTGGACATCGCATTGTCTGTGCAACCTGGAATCTCTGGTGTACACATACCCGAAGGCGGACCAATGCGAGCGCTCTGTGCAGCCAAACACCTGGTTGAGGGTGCACAGCCCATTGTATTGACCGGAAGTTTGTACTTGGTCGGCGACTTCCATCGCGAAATACGATCTAGGACTGGAAGGGAATATTGGACAGACAATAGGCACGAGGCGGACCGAGCCATGTTCCAAGAAATGCTGGAAAAAGAGCGTATTAGAGTTAATCTCTCGCTCTCGCGAGATTGTACATCTCTTGATGAGGTCACCTCTTTGAAAACGTTGTCCGACCAGAAAAAGAAGCGGGACGAGGAACGTGAGAAGCGCGAACTCATGAAGGAGCAGATCCAAACGCTCGATGAGGAGCTGAAGCGTCTTGAAGAGGCTGAGCAGTCCATCTCCCCGTTGTCGTCTGTTGCATCCGCTGCCACACAGTCCGCGTCGAAATCAGATGGAAAAGACAAGTCCGAAGCGACTTTGGCAACGCCGTTGCAGCGACAGTATGCCAAATCTTTGAATGACATACGAGCCAAGTTGCATGCACTCGAGACTGCTGCCGGAATTCCTCCCATAGTCACCGACGATGCTGAAGAAGAGGGGGCGAGGGAGGAGACACCGAATGTGTCAAAGCCGGTGAATTCGGAGGGGCATGATGTTGAGGAGGCGAAGGAGGTACCTCCAGACTTCTCAGAGCCGGAGAATTCGGAGGGATGTGATGTTGAGAAGTCCGGGAATGCGTCCACGTAATCTGGGTGACTGGATTAAGAGATGATGGCGGTTTGGACAAGCTCGCCTTTAGAGACAGGTACAAAAGGTTATCTAGCAAAGCCTTGTCCCCAATATAGAGAAAGATGAGTTTGGTTTGAACTAGTTGATGCAATGCTCGGCCAATTGGTAGATGGATACCCCACTCCATATCCTTCTAATGCATTTCCGTACACTCTCATACTCGTCCCTTGTGAATGCGGCAGTCCCACCCACACAATCCTTACTCCACCTTCTCTCCCAACCCAAACATCTTGACCGAATTCCTCCATGCCCTATTCACATTTACACATTAGCGCATTCTTTCCCCCTAAAGTCCAAACTCGCCGCCTCGACAAAAAGAAAACAAAAGAAAACCACTTACGCTTCCGCCACCTCGTCGACACTGACGCCCTTGATCCCCGCAACCGCCCACGCAACATGAGTAATGGCCACGCTCTCATTCCGCCCCTTGACCATGCACCCCTCTACAAACTTCTCCTTCTTGACCGCCTTGGGGAGCGGTGGCGCGTCCTTGAGATAGGCGGCCGAGGCGTGCGAGGGTCGCATTTCGCACCACGGACCGTCGGTTTCGAGATGTAGGTGCGAGAGGGGGATTTTCTGGGCTACGGCGATGTTTTCGGGTGCTGTTGGTGGAGAGGTGGGGTTAGGATTGGGTTGGGTTTATTGGGGGGTGGGGAGAGGGATTGAAAGGGGTGGGTAGGAATATGATGGAGGAAGACGAGAGAAAAAAAAAGGAGTACAACGTACTTTTCATACTACACCCATTCACCCCAATATCAAAGCCCAAATCCACCAGTCTCTGCATCTCCTCAACCGTGCCGGTAAAACTATGAACCAATCCTCTTTTGGGCAACGACTCGAGCTTGGCCGTCAGCAGGCGCTCAAAATCCTCGCTTGCAGCGCGCGAGTGCAGAAAGAGCGGGAGTTGCAATTCCACTGCCAGCTCGAGCTGGGCTTCAAAGTACTTGAGCTGTTGCTCCTTGGGCGTGAGAAACAAGCGATCGTAGTCGAGGCCGATTTCGCCAAAGGCCACGGCGTGACCCGTTGCTTTTGCGTCCAGGGCCACTTCTTTCAAGGCGGATAACAGGGCGCCGGGTCCACCGGGATAGGTGTCGAATTGGTGTGCGGAACAAGGGTGGACGCCTACGGTTGCGTAGCAGAGGCCTGGCTGGGCTTTTGCGATTTCAATGGCGTGTTTGGATTCGGCGAGGTCGGAGCCGGTGACCATGAATTTCTGGCAGCCGACATCTAGGGCGCGTTGCAGGATAGAGGGGAAGTCGGAGGCGTGGCGTTGGGTGCCGTGATAGAGGCCATGGAAGACAGGATCGGTGAAGTTGATGCCAATCTGGTGGGAGGTGGTTAGTTGTGGGTGTGAAGAGGAGGAGAAGACGGGGGTAGATGGACATCAATGTATCGGATTGGTTTGGCTGCTGGGGCTGGCTGGGGAGCTTCTGAGGACATGGTGGAGAGGAATTGATGGTGAGATGGTCGGTTTGAGTATTGATCTGATAGAGGTTAGGATTATTTCATATCAATGAGTACAGTAACCGCATATCCATTCAATCTCTGCCTCGGAAATCCCTGAGTTGAGCTTTCAATTGAGCTCTTCAATGTTGGCAGACGACTGAATCGACATGTAAAAAATACTGCATGCAACGTGACGCACTCGAAAAACTATGTAGATATGCAGCAGATCGAACAGAGACTTGTGATGCTTGACCCGTCTTCAAAAGGAAAATCGAATGATTCGGTTTCACTGCTCTCAGAGAATTGGCAAACATGAATTCGACGAGGGGGTGAATGTAAGTGACTGGTCGCTGGCCAAAGTTGCCAGAAGTATATGCAACTATTCCATTTCAAGACTAGCCCCTGAGCTTGCTGGCGAACGACGACCTGCGCCTCTTTGCACCTTGAGCGAACAACATAGTCTTCCCCAATTGACTGCGGACAGATTCAACAGTAGCTGGTGTGAAATGGCCCTAGAGAATACTTGGCATCTCCGCCGAGTTGCAGACAACGCGTCCAAGGCGTGCTGGATCTGCTACAAGCCCACCACCAATGTGCTCATCACTCCCAACAACAAGGTTGGTGTAAAGTCTCATTACAGACGTGACAGCATTGAAATGACAATTAGGATTTCTTCTACACATGTTCCGGTCATCTGAAAGATCGGGGCTTTTGCCATCCCGATGCCGATGAAGTGGCGGAGATTGAGGCGAAGAAGAAGGAAGAGTTCGACCGTGAGATTGAAGCTGTGAAGAAAGAATATGAGGAGAAGCAGAAAGCTAAGCGAGAAAAACGCAAGAACAAGGACAAGGAGAAAGACAAAGAAAAGGAAAAGGAGTCCAAGAGCAAGGACGAGGAGGAAGACAAACAGGACGAGAAAGCCAAGGAAGACAAGGTGAAGCAGTACGCCTCACTTTGGTGGATTTCGTCTAACCAGTATATCAGATCAAGGAGCTTACTAAGAGCAAAGAGAAATCAGAGGCAGAGCTTGGCCCTCGCATCTTTCATCTCCACAAGTACGTGACAACCAAACTCCTACATATCATATTTATCGTAACAACCGCCCAGAAACTTCTACCAAATGCGCGTCGACAAACTCCGCAGCGCAGAAATCGCAAAACGTAACCGCGAACGCCTTTCCAACCCTGCAAACTTCCCTTCGGTTCCCTCAAACCTCCCCTAGTCAGCCATTCTTCTCTCCCAAAACCCAGCCCTCTCTTGCCAAGGAGCAATACTCCCCGGCGGCAAAAGATGTTCAATCTTGTCACCTGGTAAACTCCTCGTGTTGTCTTTCCATTCGTGTAGTACACTTTTGTTCACGGACAGGATTCCAGGAGAGACGGGGGAGATGACAGGCCTGGGTAGCACTGGTTGTCGCCAAGCGACATGTCGGCTTACTGTACATACCTGCTCCACGGCGAAATTGATCTACCAACTCTTTAGGCGATGATATGTGATGATATGTGATGGAATGGATACGGGTTGTCTGGTTTGTGATGTGTGTGGTGGTACCTCTCAACCGGGTAATGCAGTCAGCAATTAGTAGCCGGTCTGACACTTTGCAACTTTCCGGATGCTGTCGGGTGGTGACACAATGCGTGGCACGATATATTGATGTTGTTTTTAGCTGTCTGCTTTGTCAGGCCCCAATGGTGCGCGACACCGGTTACCAGTCTGTTTGGTGGACAGTGGGGGTCCATGGACCAAGGTGGAGCAATCGGTGTTTCGCACGCCCAAGTTAGAGTTTCGGGGAAAAACGCTGTGGGCAATGCGGCTCGACGATTACCAGAAACGGGTGGGAGAGATCCTTGTACTCTCTTACCTTCCGGGCCGTATCTCGTAGGCCCCCCACATGGCGGTTCCACTGATGTTGGGTGGAATGAGTAGAAGGTATGCTTGGCATTGATCCAATATCCAAACTGTGGTACTCGTACCTCGAACCGGAAGATTAGGAGAAGAGACACCAATATCCTTGGTAACTTGACTTGGCCAACCAGCAAGGCCTGTGCGGATGCAGAGCGAGCAATAAGACGTGCTCGTGCGTGGCCGAGCATACCGGTATACCCGCAACCCTGTAGACGTTTCCCATGCAAGCATCCGACCAGTAGGTACTTTGTCCGACCAACTCTCCAACTTACAATCTGGCTTCTTTCAATCAACCGTAACGCAATGTATGACACCTCTTCCACCGCACCCGTTTCGCGAGCGGGGTATGATGGACATGAACATGCCATTTCCAGCGTGCAGCACAGGAGCGTAGTACAGCTCACCGAGGCGAGAGTGTATGACACGCGATTCCGACCCACATTGTAGTGATCAGCATAGACTGCGTACATCGGTAAGAGAGCCTTTTGGACAATGGCCACTACGGCCAGTGAGGGAAGGAGAGTATTATATCCAAGGTATGACATGCATTGATGCGCAAGTTGATGTGTCCTGTGCCGGGGTCTAATGAGTTGCATGTACGAGGTTACTAGTGCTCATCATTGCGGTCAGAAGAAGATGCATACATGTCATGATAGCACTTTTGAGATGTCCATGTGTTGGGTAATGTACCACGGGGCACAGCACGATATGCTGTGGAAAACTCCGCCCTCCCCAAGTGTCCAACCGCATTTTGCCTGGAGGCCCAAGTCCCGTTCATGTTGGTATTGATACCGTTGGAATACGGCTGTCAGATACGAACTTGCGGCAGAATAATACGGCAGGAGAAGTTGTTCGTGTACCTAAGCCAACTGCCGTGCCCATCGGATGCTGCATTCGCGCCTACTTGCTTTTCCCATGTCCACTGTAAACTCCCCCCCATGCAACCAATCTCACCATCACCACAATCTTTCCCTCAACGAGAAAAGTAAAAGAACCCCCGTCTGACGGATTGGAATCCTCCAATCGGATTCCCAGGCCCACATCATGTCAGCATGCTCCACACGTTCTCCAGATCTACAGCTACCGGTATGAAGCATACATAATCTACCAGGTACAAGATGTAACGCACCTACCTAGCCTAGGTACCGGTACCTCCTATACCTAACCACATGTACGGCACAGGCCGTTCCCAACCACCATCACCATCCCTTTCCCTTCTGCAAGGTCTAGTTAGTGCTCACGGCTCCACCTCCCTCCCAAACATCAGCTCATTTCTTGCGCAATTCCGGTGCTGACAGGCCAAGGGGCAATTGGGCAGGCTCGGCATGTTCGAAAGCGGCATGTCCAGAGGGAGTTAGCCGAGTCTAGGTACCTAAGCAAAACCGAGAAAAGCAAACTTGGATGATAATAAACTAGGTACACAAGTAGATAGTCGCCATGTTATAACATCCAAGTGTTTTTCTTCTTCTTGAAATATACGGCCGTGTGCGTACTGGCATGGATGCATACTTCGGCAAGATGCATCGTATATTTGGTCGGGATATGTTATTTCTCGTATAGAGAGAGAGAAAGAGAGACAGAGAGAGCAGTAGTCAATCATACCGTGGTCATATCGTGTTGCATAGCATTATCATACCCAACTATAGGTGGTTATTTCTCGGATATCACGTGTTTCTCGCCTGGGACAACGTGCTCACAACCCTACCTAAAACCAATCGCGTCTGTAGTCTGAGCAAACAAAGCTCGAGATCTACAATATGGTACGTACGGTATAGTAAGGGGTTGAACCCCAACCCTCACCATCCCGTCTATCCATCTCGTATATCCAAAACATCCATTCATCCGCAACGCAACGCAGCGCAAACAAACCCCACGCACACCATCCATCCATGGATGATCAATCTACCTGCACACCAATTGAGACATCCCCCTTCTCCCTTGCAAAACCACACAGCAGCAACACTCCTCCCCAACCCCCGGCATGTCAAAAACACCACTTCTACACCACCACTATTTCCCTACTAACGACATACCTTGCCAAAAACTACACAGCTAGCCATGTTGTGTGTCTAGACACGTTTCAGCCTTATGATAGGGCAGACCCATCGACCCCCGCTTACTCGCAATTGCAAGTACATGATTTGCTCTATCTGCCGTACGTGCGACAAGTGTCCTAGCCTCGCTTGTCGGAATTTTTTCTTTAATTTCACCTGTGTCTGTCCATGTTTGAGCCTGATCAATATATGGGTGTGTATGTATGTATACGTGTACAGTATTCTCTCATGCAGGCGCCAGGGGGGGACTTGGAGGGAAAGTCTAGACTGAGATTTTGTTGAGCTGTGCTGGGCTGAGCAAGTTTCACTATTTCTTTTTCCAATGCATATCTATATTACACCATCATGTGTTAGCGTATTTCTCAAAGAAAGTACAGTAATATGTCCTTGTAAAATTTAACTGGACGGACAATGAGGGTGGGAAAGGGCCTACCCAGTGCTAGATGTGAGGAAATGGGAATAGAGGTACAAAACGCACCGATTTCGCGCCAATACTAAATATTGTACCAAGATCTTCCTCACTCTCGAGCATGCATCGCCGCGTGTTGTTGTGATATCCTATGATGGCATGGTATTACAAGCCTGTTACCTTCCATCTCTGTGAAGCCTCCGCCACTTCCACAATTACATGGCCCAATGACGCTGCCTTAGCCCTGTTCTTAATCCCCTATGTATACAGTCCTTACCCAGCATGTAAGAGCAGACGCCAAGAGTACATCACCAGATGATCATGAGCCTGCTCCAGCCAGGCTTACCACGCCTGAAGAAGCTGAGGCACCACCTCTTACGGCATAGCCAGTGGAGTCACAATTATCTTGTTCAGGCCAAAAGGTCCCATCGTCCATTTGTGTGACGGGACGTCCATGGGCTGATGCTGATGCTGATGTTGATCACTTTTATTTCTCCAAAGCCTTGGTCCCCTTCCATATGCGTCTCTTCCAGCCAGCCTGCCTAACCTCTTTCTTACCGCTCACTTTTCCGCTCTATTGGACAACTTCCTGTGTCGTTATCAGCGGTGTTTGTCGGAACATATTTGTTACATATGAGGATGGATGACGCGGATATTGCCGGTATTATGCATGCCTGGGGACTTACCGAGTGCTAGCAAAACAACAATTGGTTGCAAATCCAATTGTGGTAGGTGGAGGATTTGGAGAGAAGACGACTGTAAACTTGTGTAAGCGCGAAATAGCCTTGGCATTCTGGTACTCGGCCCTTGTTGTGCAAGTCAGCTGATGCTCAGTGTAAGACAAAACAGAGACAAGACGTTTTCGAGGAGATCTTTGAGCTAGCTGCAGATCTCTGAAGAGGACTACGACGATGATGACGCCGTCGTGGTCCCAGGCAAATATATCGTAAAAGTGAAGAGTGGCCACGGCAATTGGCGAGCTGAATCGACGTTATTTCCCTCCTCTCGCCTGTAGCCGCTCATTGAGAGGCGAAGCAAGTTTAAAGTCGCATTAGGGGGTCAAAGTGGCGAAGATAACTCAAGATCCTTCTTATATATTAGATGACGCACTTGTTGTACGGTATGATAGGTTGAGAGTCGGTATATGATCTTGAAAGTTGACATGCCGTAAAAACATTCCCAAAATTTTGTCCAATTGACGCCCTCTCCATGTAAAACACCCCTTGAATGCAGCAAACCCCGTGGCTGAAAATATTTTGGATTCTCTTTGCGTGACGCGGAAAAAATCCCCATGTGCAAGAAAAAAAGTAATACGGCCGTTGCCCATCAACTTCGTCATGCAAGGGAACGCCCATCTCGGCTCGGTTATCGTGTCGAATAGTTACACGAAAGATTCCAGATAGGATAACATGCAGATGCCCGCTCGGCGGTGCGATTATGCGAGACACAGGCCACTTCCGCCTGTCGCCAATGGCGAATGATACTTGAGAAGGAGCCGCGGACAATATCAGCCCCGAGAAACCATCGCTAAATGCTACGCTTGATCAGATATGCTCATGATTCGTTGTGTACTTCGTTAATGACACCCGGTTTGGGTGCGAGAGGCCCACTCGGGGGACCAGTCATCAAACTTATGGAGCCAACACGATCTATTGGAGTTGGTGGCGGCTCATCTCTCATGCAGGCGTTTTCCAACATGTTTGTCCACTTTCCACTTGTCCCAGCATGACTGTGCTTCAGGTGCTGGCGAAAGTGGTCGGCGCGGAAGAATTTCTTGGCCTGGTTGCATTCGCCGAACTTGTGCACGTGATTCAAATGCTCAGACCGTGCTTCCCAATCAGCAGGATTGGGAAATTCTTCACCACAGTACCCACACACATCTGCCGCGGCTGGTCGAGTGGGCGATGGATGAAAAGCGGCTTGAACACCAGCAAGTGTTGCGCACGACCACGAATGTCTGCGCAGATGGAGCGAATTTTGGTGACGCTCGGCTTCATTCTTGTTCTTGAACCGATTGGGACAGTACTGACAGATGTACTGCTTTTCTAATTCGTGCAGACTAAAGTTGGGATATTAGCTTTTTTAAGTTCGGCTAAAAGTGGGCTGGTCAAATGGCGGTGGGTAGACGGAGGGGGGAGGAAGCACGGATGATATACTTACCGTAACTCTTCCTCACTGTCAAATTTCTTTGGCTTCTTGGGACAGCATTCGCAAATATAGGCGCCTGGTATGCGGTTTGCTATGGAATTCTGTCGTGAATGCAGCATGCTTTCTGTTGACAATTTCCGAATTTGAGGCTGTTCGGTCTCCGAAAAGCCTCGCTGATGGGGCGGCCGCGATAAAGAGCCGCGGGGACTGGGTTCCAACGACCTGCTAGCTGCATACGGTGAGACAGGCCCTGAATCTGTTTCGCCCAAGGGGGATAAGGCATTGGGTGAGAGACGCTGATCTCCGCCATAGCTTGTCAGGCTACTTGCAGCTGTAGAAAAACCAAGTGAGGAGCCAATGGAGCCAGTGCGCGGACCCAGAGAGCCATTCGACGATACAGAGCCTGGTCCTGACTGAAAGCGCGAAGCTGTACAGTTGCGGTTGACTAGCATCTGCTGTGAGCGGCGGTGATACAAGTCAGTGTGACCACTGGTGGTCGGGCGATCCTCGCGCGCGGCTTCCGAGGGAGGTGATGAGGCGCGCCGTTTCAGGCCACCCTTGGAGCCCAGGTAATAGTCGTCTGCATCGGCAGGGCTGCGATCGTTGATGTTCAATTCGCGAAGGCCATTTTCTTCCATGGCAAATTCGGGCTCGGTAAATATGCTGTGATCGTAACTGCCACGGTGTTGGGAGGAAACGTCGTCAAGAGGCCCCGGTGTGGAGATGCTGCCGAATCGTGGCCTGTGTGAGTCTAGCGAGCTAGCGTCAAAAACGGGGCTGCGAAAGCCGTTATAGCCAGGCGATATGGCCCCAGAGGGCGGCCACTTTGGACCGGGCGAGTCGATGCTTGGATGTCGTCGATCAGGCACCGACAATGGCTTCAATTGCCCGTTCAGTTTATGCAGCGGAGCGTGGGGGTCAGAGGCTGAGTCTTGGCTGCTAGTGGAGAGAGGAGGGGCGGTAGTTCTCGTGGGTGTGTTGGGGCCGCCGATCTTGGAGAGGAGCTGCTTGTCGTACGCGTGGGATGAATTCTGCAGTGCCTTTTGGCCAAGCTGTCGCTCGCTGGTGAATCTGTGGCTCATATCCAATCAGCCACGTGTGCATTGTCTGAGAAAGTGTATCTCCATTGATAGAGTCTAGGTAGTAGGTAAACCTGCTCTGCTTCGCTTGGGAACCATTGGTAGCCAGACACCACGTGCACATGTGGCCAGGTCTTGCTGGGTGGACAGCCGAGACGTATGTCTATCAAGAAGCAAGCACGAAGCCGGCGAAAAGAAAAGCTGGCAATGCCTTTTCTGAGACGGAGAAGAGGAGATATATAAGTGTGCGTATTTGTGTATGGGTGGGTGTGAGTGAGAAAGCAGAGAGAGGGAGAGAGAAAGCAAAGAAAGAAAAAGAGAAAAAGACCATACCTGTGGTCACGGAGCGATGACCGAGACTTGACGGCGCGGTCCTCGTCACTGTTGTGATCCCCGCTGTTCTCGGAGCTCATGTCGTCGTGGGACCGAGAGATGGAGGGTTTGCGGTCATGACAGAAGATGTAGTCGACCGATGGTTCCCGCGGGCGCGGTTGATTGCTGCTGGGCCCACCGCCCAACAAGCTCGAGCCAGGCCTGACGGCTGCCAGCCGGTTGCCGCCAAAGCCAGTATCCCTCGGACTGTTTGTGTTACCCCACTGCCAGCCAGGATCCTGGCCGCCTCGAAGGTCGACGTGACGTGGAGGAGGCAAGGGCGGTGGAACCTCTTCTCGCGCTCTAGGAATAGCCATGGCGACCGCTGGACTGGGGCTCGAGGGCCGGTGGTGGTGTGGCAGCGCGTAGCGATGAGAGTCATATACCCGAATTCTCGGGGTTGAACTCGCAGGCGACATGGCCGTGCCAGCGACGGCCGGAGGAGAGCCAAGGGGAATAACAAGAGGCCGCCACTCACTGGCACCTGGAGCGTGCCTCGCAGCACACACGCAAGCAGCGCAACTGTGGCGAGCTCTCAAGCGGCGAGCAGCAACACAGCACCAGATTGCCCCTTTGCCGGCAAGAGACTGCTCAGGCTCGAGGGGGTAGGGGACCAGGTGGGATGGCGGTGGCTACGAGCCTATGGGGGATGAGAGTGCACGGACCCCACGTCTAAATGGAGGTTAGCCGAGAGCGTCGCAGGCAACGGCATGGCCGAAACTGGCAGGGAAGGAAAGGAATTCCATGGAAAAGGAAAGGAAAAGGGAAGAAGAAGTGGTGGGCGTGGGAAGGAGGGAAAGGCATGGTCAGCTGGAGTGAGGCTGAAGGCTGAGGCTGTGAGGCTGAAGCGATGCGTGCAAAGACAGAGCCGCTTACCTACGTACCCTTGCGAGGGTGTGACGCCAATGGCTGACGGGTGGGTTGTGTCCGTAGTGGTGGTGGTGGTGGTGGTAGTAGTGGTAGTGGTTGGGTAGGTGGTAGGTGATAGATGGCAGGTAGTAGATAGTAGAGGGTGGTGAGAATATGTGCAGCAGTGGGTGTGGCAGCACACTGGGTCAATGAAGGCGATGCGGCTGGTGGGTGGGTGGATGTTGGACGGGGCGAGGCTGCCAGGAGGCTTGCCAGGAGGCGGCCAGTGAACGCGGGGGCGCGGTCCGTAGGGCTGAATGCTAGGGTAGGGCAGTAGCTACCTACCGTACCTACTTTTTTGTTAGGATCAGTTGGCAGGAGGACCCTTCCAATGTTCCCACAGCCGTCCACGTCCCTCTTGGATGCGTCCTGGGTAGGTAGGCGCTCTTTTCTTTTTTTGCTCGAGCTCCGAAAGCCAGACACCACCGCCACGCACACTGCTGGCGAGGATACAATCAATGACAAGGGGGATCAATGGTTGGGCTGTGTGCGTGTGTGCAAGTACAGTACTGTACAGTACAGTACAGTGCAGTAGCTGTACGGCTCACGGCTCACGGCTCAACGGCTCACGGCTTCAAGTCGTCGCATGCGCCCTTTGCATGGTACCGCCGCCCAAGGAGCAGGTGCCCGTCGGGAGTGCTGCGGCGCCTTTAGCGTTGTGCAAGAAAAGAGCGAGGGCTGCGGTCGTTGGAGACGCGGCGAAAACGAGACAAGACAGGATAAGACAAGATGAGACGAGACAAGATGAGCCCACACGCCGTCCAGCAGGAGTAAGTAGGCAGCTGGAGGAGGAAGCGGTGGACGCGAGCGAGAATCAAACTCACTTCAAACAGCCAGGCCAGAGAAAAAGCGGGCAGCCAACGGCGAGCACGAGCACACAGACAAACGCACCGAGAGGGGACCAAGAACAACAATAACAAGAATCATCAACAAGAAACAACACAGAAGGGATGATAACCTGCAACAAAACGGTCAAGAGAGCCCCCGGTTGGGGGGGGGGGCGGGGGACCAGCTCAGCATTAAGCAAGCCACGACCTGGACTTTGCCCTGTGCTCGAAAAGTCGGTGATTGGTCATGGTTGGGCCCACGGCCAGCAGCGCTGATTATTGTAGTCTGGTGGAGCCGTTGCTTACAGGGGTCGGTCTGTCTGTCTGTCTGTCTCTCTCTCTCTCTCTCTCTCTCTCTTTCTTTCCTTTCTCTCTCTCATCGACACCGTTGGCCCCTGCCCTTGTTGCCCCTGCCCTGTTGCCCTCTGCTCTTGCCCTGCCCTTGCCCCGCCCCTGCCTTGAACGCTTACCCCCTCTCTCTCTCCCTCCCTCCCCTGTCTTGCTGTTCTCTCTTCCTTTCTTCCTTCCTTTCTTTCTTCCACTCTCTCTTCCATCCGAACTTTCAACGCTCCCCCGCCAATCCGGCCAATTCTGCCTGTGCATACACACCTAGTACCATCCATGTAGCCATGTACATATTGTACTAGAGTACATACATACATAGCGAGTGTGTGCTGGTCAAGACATGTAACTGTAAAGCCTGGCTGACCCTGCGCCCTGCCCTGGCCGTTGTGGCCCTGATCATCAGCCCGCAGCCCACAGCAATCAATGAGCCGTCCATCTGTCCGTGACCAGGTGGACGATACCACCTACCTACGCAAACCATGGGCGATCGGCACAGAATCAGGCGGGAGTGCAACGCTGAAAATACATGCTAGAGTCGAGTAGGAAGTCTACATGCTGTATCTACACACATGCACATCTATGTATGTACCTACAGGCCTGGGATCTGACCACACGGTACGTCAGGCTGCACACACACACACACACACACACACACCCCAAGGCCACCTTCTCTCCCTTGTGGACCCGATTGGAGAGGAAAAGGCAGTCCGCGGCACTCTCTTGTCAGATGAACGCTCCGTGGTTAGACTCGAACGCGGGTAACGGGAGTGGACCGCGTCGTTGACCAAGCAGAGCCCTCAGCCTTACCAGCCCCAAGACGGAACCTTGGAACACTAGGCACAAGTACGAGTGGGCAGGTACCTAGGATGCCAAGCTTTTTGCCTCGGCCCACATCAGCCTGTCCACGCTGTCCACGACTGCACGCACCCCCAAACGGTCTTGCTTTCTTTTCTCTCCATGTCAAGGACGTGCTTTGCGGCGTGGGGGCCTGACTTGGCCGTCTGTCTATCTGTGTCTCTCTCTCTCTGTCTCTCCCTCGCTCTCTCTCGCGCGCGGCTAGACTTGCAGACAAAACGCCTTCCCGGCGACTATCTCTCACCTAGTACAGCCGGGGTACAGCGATCGAATCGCACGCACATGCTGACAGAGTGTGTACAATACATACTGCATACATACATATACATACCCCATCATCATCATCGGTCGTGGACGAGATGCGGGAAACTAGATGGTCGCTCTGCTGTCCAGCATTCCTTGACCTTTTATTTTGTCTTCCCTTCTTTCTTTCCTTCTTCCATGTCAGCATATATTTCTGGCCGACAGATGGTGGTACAAAGGGCGGAATGCAGCCCCCCCCCCATGTGGTCGGCTCCTATCCATTGGAATCTTCTTTGGGAAAGATGTAGTGACATTCCCCGCGAGTTGGGCCGGCTTATAGGAGGCCGCGGCGGCGCCCTCGTGCCGTTGGAAGCGGTTGCTGGTTGTAGGTAGTCTGGGTAAGAGGTAGTACTACTGTCTGCAGCTGACACGAATATGTCTGATCCTGACCATGGCAGCCGTCCAGCTGCCATGCGCCGAAGAAGCTGCACCAGTCGCAAGTGCAGCATTGTACTGTACTATACCTGGCCCTGGTAGTTACTAAACCCCCTCCCTTCTGCCCCTCCCCACTCTGTTTGTGCGCGCACCTTGAAGGTTGCCTCCACCAGGCCTAGCCTGCTAGGGCTGTCTGGACTCTGCACTTTGCCTACATGGATTATAGTATAGCCAGGCATGCTCATAATGGGTACCACAGCAGCACACTGTGTACTCTACTAGTACATGGTCGTTGTGCCTTGGGCGCGGAGCCTTCCGTCCAAGGACGGGCGAGTGGAGAGGCGCCCATGCTGCAGTCCTTTTGACGTCTTGGACGCATGTCATGTCAACCAGCTCTTTCCCGTACGTACGCACAGTAGATTACACCATGTCTCACTCTACTCTAGATGCTGTCGTGCATGGGCTGCTGCACTGGTGCTCTGTGGAAGAAGACGCTGCTGCTGCTGCCAGAAATAGCGCCTTGGTCGTGCATGTGCTTTGCCCATGGCTGTGCTTCCCCGTAAGGCTGTGTTTTTTTGTGGCACCCAACTGTGCCCTACCGGTTCCGTGCCACGGTAGGTACGGTAAACTCGGCGAGGCGCATCCAAGCCTCCAAGGTCAAACCCAAACCCCTCCACGAACTACGCCCCCCCCCCCCCCGGTACTATACGGTAGTAGTAGTAGAGCTCAATAGTAGTTGCAAATCTGGTTCCCCGTTGACAATTCACTTTGCCTCTGTGGTTTGTGCATTCATCTTGTCTCACCATCTCGTCGCTTCGCCGCTCACCTGATCACCTTTTTGGTTCTCTCCTACCGTACCGGTACCTACCCCTCAGCCCTCACCTGTCAACCAAGGCAGCAAGGCATCGCACGCTAAGGGTTGTACACAAGGCGCCTCGGTGAAAATTCAAGGCTCCGACGCTCCTACTCACCTTACTCTACCACCTCGCTTGACTTCCTCACCCAGAAACCACCCCCCTCCAATCTCCGACTTCCAACAATCCTTTCCGGTCAACCTGATCGGAGTAGCCATGGCTCTCATCGACCGAGTGCCTGGTCCTCTGAATCTGTACATTGGTGGGTACGTGACGGTAACGCAATCATCGTTTCGTGCACCCCTCCCCCCGCCTTCTCCCATGGCCCAACTGTCCAGGGGTGGGAAGAAAGCAACTAATCAGTCGTCTGTTTGTATAGCATGTTCACACTGAGACGGCGTGAGGCCCTTCTACAAGCCAACATCACCCATGTCCTCTCCGTACTACGCACGCCACTGGATCGGGACTTGTTCGCCCCCTTCAAGCACATGGTAGTCGAGGTGGACGATGTCGACGATGAAAATCTATTGGAACATTTTCCAGCCACCAATCGCTTCATACAGGAAGGCCTGGACGGAGGTGGCGGAGTCCTCGTGCACTGGTACGTCCAACAAACCTGGTCAAGCTGAGCCTCGCATATTCAACACTCGATCCTCACCAACCATTTGCTCTGCTTGGCATATTTGCCATCTTCAGACTATACGTTGGCTTGCATAGTCTCCTCACTGCATTGTCATGCACACACTTATTTTCTGTTTTCCGCGCGTCCTGCATCCATTTCTGATAGACATTTCTCTTCCTACTTCCATCACTGTCCTCCTTTTTTCTCTCTTGCAACCATCCGATACACACCGCTCTCTTGCCACTCGTTTGGTTGTAGCCACTGAGGTCATTATGCCAACATGTCCTCTATAGTGCCATGGGTAAATCACGCTCAGCTACTGTCGTCATTGCTTATCTGATGCAAAAGCACGACATCAATCCATTAGAAGCGCTGTCTCATGTTCGACAAGCGCGGTCCATATGCGAGCCTAACGATGGCTTCATGAGACAATTGGAACTCTATGGCGAGATGCAGATGCCTGACAATGTCGAAGAGACCCCTGCCTATCAACGCTGGGTATATCAACGAGAAATTGAGCTGAGTCGTGCGTGCGGGCAAGCACCAGAGGCAGACAAGATACGCTTTGAAGACGAGCATGTCGCCAGTCAGGCTTCTGGTTTCGAATTGAGATGTCGCAAATGCAGGTGAGTGGAGTCCCCTCCCCCCCTTTGGTTAGGGATTCGATGCGGCGGTCATGGCATCTTTGCCGCTGTCTCGCCCGCTCAGCGCTTACATGACCCCAGACGGCCACTGGCTACCTCTCAGTACCTGCTACCACACACGTCGGCCTCCGCCAGGGAGAGTGAGAGTACAGGAACGCCTCCAGTCACCGCATCTCGAGAGTGTGCCCACTATTTCCTTGACCCATTGTCCTGGATGCGCCCCGAGCTTGAACAAGGCAAGTTAGAAGGACGCCTAGAGTGCCCCAAGTGCCACACCAACGTAGGAAAGTACGCCTGGCAAGGGATGCAATGCAGTTGTGGAGAATGGAGGGTACCAGGAATCAGTCTTTCCAAAGGACGAATCGATGAAGCAAGGAAAGCCAGTCATGGCATACGGCGGCCACCAGAAACTTCAGGTGCGGCTCCCGCCAAAGAGAACCTGTAGAGGGCTGCACCAGAAAGTTTTCAAGAGCCCAAGGTCTATCGTCCAGACTTCAAACACTATTTTGGCTGCCAAGAGGCGTGTATATGTTACCTTGTGCTTACGATGGGTATATGTCCGATGTATCGGCCCTCATCTGATACCAACGGCGATCTGTGTTCAACGTCTATCCGTTTCCCCGCCGCCTTACATATATATCATCTTGCATTATAGGCTCTCCAGTCGCCATCACCAGCATCGTGGTCAGGCTATGTCTGCGCAGGTCCATAAAGGATGGCATCAGGAGTCTGCTATAGGTGGATACCACGCTCTACACCGCCGGCGGCATTAATATCCGACAGTCAACTTCCTCTTCAATGTCTTTAATTCCCTTTACACGAGTTCACGGTGCCACCCTTCCGTCGCCTTACCTGCCTGACTGACGACTAGAACTCGAGCAAATGCCAGCCAAAGTCATGTTCGAAATGTCTCACTTCATCTACCGCTTCACTCGGGGAACGGCGTCGGCCTTGTTGCATAGGCTACATGTCAAACGGAAGACAGCGAAAGAGGTGAGCACGGATCGTGCAAGGCGCCCGCCGGTGTTCACGTGGCTCATCAATATGCTGCCTTAGCAACATTTGTGTTGCAATGTCCAACTGTCGCTGGGGTAATGGCTTGGAAGGGCTACGTTACGAGATTCGATACGACCACGTGTCTCGGTCGTGCTCGAGCTTCGCACACGGCCCAGCTGAGCCTGCAGTGTGCACTTGAACCAGTTGCTTACTCCTGAATGCGTATGGATGGCAAGAGCGTTGGTTATTGTAGCCCAGGGGCTTCATGGCATAGAATCTGTTTTAAAACACGTCACACGGATTCATCTACGTGAATGTGTCTTGGCATGTAGAGATTGGATGGCATATGTGTTTATAGTTGTAATACTATCATGGCGACGAGAACTTCTGGTGGCGATGGTCAGAGCCAAAGTCTGCGAGCAAAGATGACATGATACAGGAATTTAGATTTCATCAACTTGTAATTGTAACAACTGGACTGCTCATGTCCTAGTCATCAAACTTTCCCCTATCGACTCCACAAAAACAAAAGACAGAACCTACTCTCCAACAGTACATTTTCTTTTCGACCAGCCATCTGATTACACAAAAGAACCCTTGAAAAGTCAGATTGTACCCAAAGGAGTCGTAGCACTCTTTATACACACCACGGACTACCACTTCCAGTGAGATAAAAGGGTCTACCTTGTTTGCTTGCTTTTTATATTACTATAGATTTATTCTAGTACATGGATGGATGAAAGAGTACCATGACATATCCAACCCAACCCAGTCCTGCGCAAACCCCCCCCCCCCCCCCCAAAAAAAAACGACTGAAATCTCCACGATTTGGTCACCGCGTATATCGTGACGTGTTATGAATCCAAAATTACCCTCTCCTCTCCTCTCCTCCTCCCTCTTTGGGGTTTCCCTCTTTGGGGTTTCCCTCTTTGGGGTTTCCATGCTATTTTGCTTTCTCTCCACCTGTTATACGGTGATTCGCCCGTCTAGGACCATGGCTCTGATTGCGTCGATGCTCATGTCTACTGCTTTCTGCGCCATCTGGTGTTTGTTGGTTAGTCGGGTGTTGGGTGATGGATGGATGATGTGGAGAGGGGAAGATGTGGGTGTTTTTGTGAATTCAGGTGGTGGATCTGAGGGGAAAAGGTGTTGTGTTGTAGGGATACATGGGGATGGAAGGTAGGTAGGTACGTTGGTGGGGTGAAAGATGCAAAATACAGAGAAGCAAAAAAAAAGAAAAACAATTCTCACCTCCTTGAGTTTCCCAAGCTGCCTGTGCGCCTCGTCGGATCCCCGCTGCAGGTCGGGGAATTTGAATTCAAATGTATACGTCATGTAGAGATCTGTGGGCGAGCCCGAGGAGCCCGTGGAGATGATGTTGCGGATGTGAGAGCCGTCTTGTTGTTCGAAATCGATCTAGAGGGAGGGGATGGGGGGTTAGTATTGGTACATATCTTTTGCTGGAGTTGGGTTGGATTGGGAGTTTTTCTTTCTTTTCCATCGAGTTGGGGTGTGATTTTTGGCCCTTTTTTTCATTCTCTCCACTCGTCACCGACCATACAAGTCCATCCAAGGACAACAAAACCCCCCCCAAAAAGAACCAAAACACAAGACACAAAACACGGAAAAAACAAAACATACCCAACACGGCCAAAACCCCCTAACAACCTCCCTCGCCCTCTCCCTCGGCCCAGCCCCAGCCTTGAACCTAACCTCCCTCGTCACCACCACATCCCCTCCCTCCCCAGCCTCCTCCCCCAAAACCTCGCACCCCTCAATCACAGGCACGAATTCCTGCGCAAACCGGATTTTACGCTGCAGGCCGGCCCAGAGTTGGGCTTGTGTGAGGACGGGGGCGGCAGAGGGGGGGTTGATGGGGGAGGTGTGGGAGAGGTGGAAAGTCACCATGTTTTCTTGTTTTTTCTTGTCTGGGGTTTGGGACTGGGATTATGGGGGAGGGATGTAGGAGTATATTGGTGGATGTTGGGGTGGTGGGGTAAGAACAATACGTGTGGTTATGATATCTTCTCCAGGTGATGAAGTTGTTGGTTCAGATGACAAAGTTGCTCTTCTTCTTGTCCTCCTTCTTCTTCTCCTAAATCCTAGTGCTACTTCCCAGAGACTCGTGTTCTCCTCCAAGACAAATTCAGTGCAACAAGTTGGCGAGCCGAGATGTGTACCGTAACACAATGGATAATGAGCGAGGGAAAGCGGGGTCGTCTTGACGTCAGTAAGGCAGTCAGTCAGGCAGTCAGGCAGTCAGTCAGTCAGCCAGCCAGTCAGTTAGTCAATCAGTCTACAACCTTTGAAGCCCTACAAGCGGTGAAAAAGAAGATAAAAAATTGAATGCAAGCCGTCGACATTGTCAGACAGGCTCCCCTTATACCCCGTGTCGCGGATTATCACACTGCAAAGATCAGATGTAAATCCTTCGGCCCCATAAAGTCCGATCACGCATCAGGCTGACTACTCGAGCGTCAGCGGCCGTGGTGCCTATACAGGCCGGACATGAAGCATCGAATCGAAGGGAAAACGAATGGTTTATGCACACTGTTGTGGTCTGGATCATGAGCCTAGACTCGTGGATATAGTCATGAGAGCTTCAAACAACGATACTACTATACATGCACGATTGAACATGGGGCATCACAGCAGCCTAACGTTTCGGAGCTGTAAATGCTCGACTGTCGCCATCGTACAGGACTTTACAACCCGACATCAATGTGGGTATTGAAGACTGAGAGATCGACACGCGGTGGCACCATGACGGACACATGTAGTCGTACATACAGGTCAAACATGTTAAGAACACCCTACAAAACGGAGAGTATACTGTGAGAAGATCATCCGACATGGCGGGCATGATATATCATTTGAGGTATCATTTCACTAGCCTTTCGCTCTCGATAAATGTAGTAGCTACTCAGCGCAACCCGCCGGAACGCCATTTTGGTATGCAAGCCCTCCGTGTCTGTCATTTACTTCTTCAACCTCCAATCTAAGCATCCTCAACGACCTGAGTGTGAAGACCCTTGGGGTCCTTGACATTGACAGCCTGGACGTAGGAGTAAAGCTTCTCCTTGGCGCCTTCCTCGTCGTTACGCTTGCGCGAGATGCGCACACGCAGGCGGTATGGAACACCCTTGATTCCAGATTCCCAGACCTTCTTGTTCAACTGGGGGTCGAGGCGGACGTCCTTGGTGCCCTAGAGTGCCACGGTTAGCAAAACTATTTATACACTGGCTGTGATCAAGCCAAGGCTCCTCCACGTACCATGGCCTTCTCAGCGAAAGCGCGGATCTCCTTGATAGCCCTGGGGGCCCTCTTCTTGAAAGCTACGCCATGGACCTGAAAACCCATGTATTAGCCTTATGTTCACCTTCAGTCTTCCGCCCGATGCCTGCATCGCCAAGAACAGTCACCCCAGAAGTGTTTCATCACTACTGGAATGTCCGCTCAGAACTCTGCGAGACCATCGATGGACTTCACAAAACTGAATCAACATACGCGCTTGTGGAGGTGGATGGTGTATTCGCGGGCGACGACATCAGCGATGGCGCTTCGCTGGGTCTTGCCAGCCTTCTTGGTGGAGGTCTTTGCGGAGGGGGCCATTTTCTGCACAGAGTCTTGTTAGCATGTGTCTATCTCCAATCTCGAGGAGCTGCGCGTGGTGTCACAGCGATTATAACAATGCCAATCAGGACCAATTGCGGGCGGTCTGCAACATCTCCAAGGATTTGAATACGTACTGACAGAAGTCTTCGCTATGGAGTTAGTCGACGATGAGGTGCGAAGTACGGGCTTGAAGTTCGTGAAGTCAAGTCGGTCGCCCGAATTTCGATTTCTGAAGTCGCTTAATTAGCGTGGTGGGGCACAGACCACCTAGTCCATGGGCAAAGTAGACCACGAACCAACTCACGCGAGACGAATGCTTTGGGGAGAAATCATGGAATCCTGGCAGCTCTTTTGGTTCTGATTGAAATTTCAATAAGCAATACATGTCATTCAAGCAAATATCAGCACCACTCGACCCGTTCACGTTGGAATTCCATGTGCCTTGACAACCAAGGTGCGTTTCGGCACACATATGTGAACCGGTACCAGACGGCACGTCTCTAAACAAATCAGCTAGCACAGGCATCATCATGACTTCAAAGTGAGAGTAATCGGAGCAAAGACTCATATATCATCGTCGACCTTCAGAGTCTCACACCCCACACAAACATCTACACTCTACAAACGTGCTGCATCAAAAGTTCAACACCGTGCCACTGAATTCTAGTTACCATGCCTCTACTCCCGAAAGCTGTCTTTCAGCTCCATTTTCCGGAATCCGAGCATCGCTCTTAGCTTTAGATACGTCTCGTAGGAGCCGAGCTGTAGCTCAACACGCATATGCCTGGACCATGCACTGAGCCAAATGAAGAAATTTCTCGGCCACAGCAAACTTCCACGTATGTTATCGAGTTGTTCTTCGTACACTGTGCGTGATGCGTAGCGTGCTAGGATCAAGAAGGTACGCATGGGCCCTTGGCGGGTGTGTAGACCCTCGTCTAGGGAGCGTGCTCGGGGCAAGTTAGCAACCTTGTCTGTTTGGTCGCAGCAAAGGAGATGGCTTACTCAAATCATTCGTCTTGAGGATAAGCAAGATCACTCTCGGTACCTGTCCTAAAAGATGAATCAAGTTTTCCAGCAGCCCCTCTCCAAGCGCATCCCCAATAACCTTTTTCTCCTCGCTGGTCCGAGATGTCATGACGCCTCCTGTGCCTGCCTCCTTCCTGGCTAGTACCGTGTAGTCGCGGCCCGTGATTGCAGAGGCAAAGAGTGGAAAATGCTCTTCGCCAATGCCAGCTACTTCGTGCGCATATTTGCGCATGCCAGTCTCATCAGCGTCCAGTACCGCAAGCCAAAGCTTTGCGTAATTTCTCCTCAGTTGCAGGGGGATATCGCGATATAGTCCATGGTCGTATAGAACCACGTCGAAATTGGCTCCTTTCCGTTTGGGATTGTATCGAATCGAAATGTTGCCACCGTGTGGATCGCAATGCAGTGGTGCGTCTCTACCGAAGATCATCTCATTAAAAATTCTAGCCAGCGCTGCGGACACTTCATCCCGGTCGATACCGTGAGCATCCAGACTCTTGAGGTCGTCTGTCCGGAAGCCTGAAATGTACTCCATCACCAGTATCCGTCTCTTCGCCCAGATTACTCTTGGGATTACAACTGGCACATCGTGAACGTGTGAGAAGTATTCGCGCGCGCGAATAGCATTTTGGCCTTCGCGTGCGAAGTCGAGTTCTTGCGGAAGAGAAGCTTGCATCTCCTCAGACAGCCAAGTGAGATCGTACTCCGGGAACCAGCGTTTCAGCGTAGTAAAAGAGAAGCTCGTCAAGGCCAAGTCCAGTTTTGCCCACTCATCTAGCGCCGGGTGTTGTACCTTGACTGCGACTTTCTGCCCTGTCTCGCGAACTGTTGCACGATGCACCTGCGCCAAAGAGGCTGCTCCTATGGGCAATTCCTCGAATTCAGAGAAGTATTCTGCCAACTCATGGCCCGTGTCCATTTTTACCATCTCTCGTATAGACTCAAAGGACGATATCGGACATTGGTCCTGCAATGGAATGAAGGTATCGCACCACTCGTTGGGAAGGAGGTAATTCATGCTGCTCAAATGTTGTCCCAGCTTGATGAAGATGGAGCCATTCTTCTCCAGTGTTCTCAAGGTTCGCTTTGCGCATCGTAGGTGGCAGGCCTTCAATTGTTCAGGGTAGTCTGGGTCGGTATCGCGCTTGAGTGTGGTGCGGTAGCTATGAGCGTAGTACATTAGCTACTGAGCAGTCGATCATAGGGCTGTACAATCGCCGTACTCTTGGATGTTCAGTATTAGCGTAGTCAACACCCTGTAACTACGCTGCGCTGCCACATATGCATGTTTCGCGTCATCGTTGATTGTGACCACCCCAGCACCAAGCGCTATTGTACCCCCAACAATCAGCAGCCTTCGCTTTCTCCTGCTACTCTTGCTGAAAGCTTTGGTGGTGAATTTGACTGCAGATTGCGCCTCGCTTGCTGCTCTGCTGGCGAAGGTCGCCCTCTGCTGTGCGAATGACGAGCGCTGTTGCCACGGGCTCGGTCGTTGGGGTATTGCCTGGCGCTGCGATCGGAGACATGCTCGGCACAACCACGAGCGTCGCAGGAAGGGTGTGAAGACATTGATAGCCGACATTATACGTGCATGTTGACAGTAGAAGGAGAGTTCAGAAAGCCACGCCTAAATCTAAGCAGAACGACCGTGTGTGGGGAAAGGCTGTTCGGGCGGGCGCGCCATGGCTGTAGATGATGTCGTTCGACATTTTCTCAGGGTCATGCTCTAGTTAGCGCATGTCGGAACGGCAAAGACGCAGAGAGACCCTTGCAGCTGTATTTTGCGACCATACCGGTACCCGGTACATTGGTGTGGAGCTGGCACATGAAAGCCACACTGATTAATTGTCAATTACGCATTTGTTATACTTGCACACGTGGGTATAATGGTCTCCTAATCTATCACCGCGTCCGAGATATATGTATATATATACACTCTCAACTGACCAAACTCCCCAAAGACCTCGGCAAAGGCCAACAAAAGACTGTAACAAGGGTATCTTTTCATCAAACATCAGAGTCAATCAAAATCATGATGCCTCCTGTCTTATCAACGATACAACCACGGTCCTGCCTATCTCCAAGAAAACTATCCACAACGCCATACATCTACTAATCCCATCGACATCTATTTCTCCTCTATCTAAGGCTGTTTTGTGCTTTCCATCACCTGAGCTGTCATCACCATCATGTTCCGGGCTCCAAGCAAGGGCTACAGCTATGGAACGCATGCGGGATACCATTCTCCCTGGTGTGAAGAAGGACAACCCACGTTTGAGCACCCACAAACCCCGCTCCCTCACTTTTCGGTCTCTTGCTCTACATATCCACAGTCTCATTGAAGCAAAGCACGCCATTGCCCTTCAAGTAACCGTCGACCCCATCTGGCGTCTTTTGTTGACGGGGTTGAGCAATATGAGCATCTTGCTGTACGCCAGCGTCGGCCGGAGAGTCTGAGATATCTGTTACGAGAACGAGGCCGGCCGTCTTGATCGATTCGATTAGGGCTGGTGCAAGGGACTAGTCCTTGTTAGCCTGGCACAGGCCGTGTACCTTTAGTTCACTTACGAGCAGACGAGAGCTACATATCAAGCCCATAAAGTTGTTATCTCTCGCAATTTGTACGGCTTCTTTGACCGAGATGGTGGTTCTTCCGCTGCTCTGAACGATATGCGTGTTGCCAGAGGGTGATTGTGAGCTGTCTGCACCAAGTTCGTTACACAAAAGGACTGGATCTAGGCGAATATTAGCATCGGAAGGATAGAATTTGGCAAGTCTGCTTACAATTCGGCTGCTTCCAGTTGATCACTGTGCATATGTCCTGGTTGAAGGAGCTGAACAGCACACTGCGTAGCGTTCCATCAATCTCACCCGCTCCACGCTTTCTCAGCACACGTGCATGCTCGAAGACCACAGACAGTATTCGGTCTGCGAAGGTGTTCATATCATGTGTTGGGCCAAGCTTAAGCCGTTCCTCATCGAGCCTTGAGGGAAACAACACATGTAGTTCTACATGGATGTGTGTCGGCAGGAGTGCCAGAGCGTCTTCCAATGTGATGAATGATGCCGCCAGCGCCTGGTAGATTGTGGGTATGCTGATCGATTCGTCCTTTAGGAAAGCTTCTGCGAGTTGACTAGCAGACGCTGCATTTTGGTGGGCGCCGATGTCCGCAAACTGTGCATAGGTGAGTATATTGACGGGAACTTCGAGTCCCTGGTGATTGATTTTCCACCTCGGATGTAGCACAGGTATACCATCAGCTGTCAATTGTACAAACAAGCGCACATACTCGCCAGATAGACTTGAACCAGTGATCAAGGTGTGTGGCTGCGAGTCAAGTTGACTTGTAGCCTTCCAATACGTTGCGAAGTGCGTAATCTCCAATGGAATACCATGGAATGGCTTCACCACCTGAAAGTCAAAAGTGACACGACCAATAGACCGTAGCCTGGGATCGAATAACTCGAGATGCCATCGCCCAGTGCTCTTCGACAGCTCGGTAAAGACTTTGGACGATGCAACGCTGCGTGCGATGACTTTTGAACCGATGGTCGGATAGACATCGAAGTCGATGGAGAAACTGTCAAGATTCTCAATCTGGAATGAGATGACCTTGAACTCGTCTTGAATTGGTAAGAGAATGTTCCTTGGGATCAGATCAGAACTCTTGGAGGATATGGTAAGTCTTGCAGCCGGGTATTTGGACTCGTCATAGAACCTGAATGCATCTTTGCCAACTTTTTCGAAGCTGATGACAACAAATGTTTTCGTGTCGAGGAAATTGTGTCCATATCTTCGAAACGGGATGATGGGTGGCGGTAGGATGAATTCGGGGATACCATCCGCGTCATGTTCCAAGTCCATGGGCGCAGGCATTGAGCTCGACATTTGACCAGCCATCTGCGGTGACACCTGCTTTTGTAACTTGAGTCCAATCCCGCGACCCACGGAAGCAAGTAGTTTCATGCATTCTAAATGTCCTTCCCATGTTGCATAGTACATGGCGGACAAGCCTTTTTCGTCTACGATATCCACATCGACTCCACAATCGAGCAGCGTTTGAAGACATTCGACATGGCCTTCGCTAGCAGCATGGAATAGCGGCGTCCATTGATATAGTTTGTCGGGCTGGTCCAGGTTGGCACCATATTTCTGGAGCATGAGTAACGACTGCGGTGTTTTCCCGGATCGTGCGACCAAATGCTGCGGGAAGAGCCCTTCGGCATCGGATATCATCTCGGACGATCGTTGCAAAAGCAGCTCCAGTATCTCAAGTGAGGCATACTGGCAAGCGAGGTTGAGCGGCACATGCTCTCCAGGTCCTAATCGGGTAAGATCAGCACCCCTTGAGAGTAATGTCTCGACGCAGGCGAGCTGCGAGTGAACAATGGCGTGTATAAGCGGAGTAAAGCTGTCCTGGTCGCGATAGTTGACGGTCTCTGGCGCAGCGTCGATGAGTTCTTGAACCAGTTCCACATAGCCGTGCATGCATGCATAATGCAGTGGTATCCGACCATAGACATCAGTCGCGTGCACATCTACTTGACTGGACAGGCCAAGCTTCAACACCTCGATACGTCCACTGATCGCTGCCTTATGCAGACAGTTGCGTTCATTGATCTCATCTTCTTGCCCGAGATTGACAAGGTTTGAGTCCAGCAGAATCTTCAGGGCAGATTCAGGGGCCTCTGCGACTGTGCTAAGGAATGCTCGAGAGACGTGATCGCGCGCATCCGGGAGGGTCGACAGTCGAGCAAGACATTCTTCGATCTTGCTCTGATTTGCTGTATTAATCGCCTGTACAAATTGATTGTCCAGCTCCAGTTTCGCTTCAAAGGCGGGTTCAGAAACGCGTGGTTCAGCAGTGGGGTGCGGCGCTTGCACTCCCTCTCCCTCGGCCCAACCGGAGAAGTCGAGCAATGCCTGGGTGGCTTGATCGGAAAGAGTGCTGATGACTTCTCGATTGAAGCATGGCTGGACTTCAACAGCGCGCGAGAGATATAATTGCTTCTCTCTTGACTAAAAATCCAAGTTAGTCGCGGTGACGGTGTGCTGGCGACGTGGAAGTCTACCTTTGAAGTTTTGTCCCACTGCAAGAGTTAGCATGCTGATTGGTGGAAGTGATGGAGTGTTCAAACCTTCTTCAGGATTTTGGAAAAGGCTGTCTCGTTTACTTCGACAAATTGCTGGCTCGGATTAGTTCCAGCAACTCTTCAGTGCACGTGAGCCAATCACCTCTAGTTTGTTGAGATCCGTGCTAAATTGCTTTAGTCCCTCTTCAAGAGCGACATACCGTGAAGAAGTTTTTGAAACCGAGTGGGGATGCTGTTGCATGACCCTCTTTTTGTCGAGAAGGGTAGTCAAGCGGAGGCGCAACTGCACGCACTGTGAGAAATATCCAATCTTCAGACGCGGCTGTGCTTACCTCTGCCTCTTTTTGGAGGTAAAAGGTGTTGACCTTTTCCAGCTCGCGTTCCTGGGTGATCTGTCAGTTGGGCATCCTGGCATGACGTATTGTTTCTGTGCGTACCACTCGAAAGAAGAATGTAGCCTTGTTCGCCTGCAAGGACGTTTGCGGGTCTAATGCATCATGTCCATGGCTACTGTCGCCTTGCGGTGGTAGTATTGGAGTAGCACTAAGCTTCTTGATAAGCTAGAGCGGACCATCAGCCGTTGCTCAGAGACACGCTATTAGAGTTCAAGACCTTCTTGAGCGCTTTGTAGTCGACGAAACTGGCGGCATATTCTGGAATTTCCAGCTGCCGCTTCTGGATATGCTTTCCGAACTTCCTGGAGAATCGTGCTGAGTCAGTCGTGTCTTCTTTTGATGCCAGACTTGTCGATGAAGCCGTCTTCCTCAGCACCACCAGCGGTTGGGGATGAAGTGTCTCCATAAGGAGAGAAGACGTACATTGTGTCACCAAGTGTGAGAGGAGCCTACAGCGGTCTTTCTCGAGCCTTGACAGTAATGCGTAGGATGATGATGCACAAGCGACGGATGCTAGCCTGGTCACCGTGCAGATCTAACCATAGAGGTCCCGCTATGACAGGTGCGCAGTAGGCAGGGGGGCGCCAATTCGGCAAGAAGTAGGTACAGGAAAAAAAACACGAGGGAGTCTGAGGCTCCTCGGTAAATGCCCAGAAACGGAGGCGCGCAGATGAAAGAGAAGTCGAGATGTAGAGAGTCCTCAGTCAGTCGGGGCTTGTAGCGTTGTACTGAGTTCCCCCCCCGTCCCGGCGTATCAGACGGTTCGATCAAGCGGCTCGCTTTGGACCTGACCGAATTTGGGTGTTAGCAACTGGCTTTTGCAAGTAGGTACCAGATGGAGGGGACAGGTTTTGCTGTGAAGCCGAGGGCTCATGACAAGAGGGTGACGAGAATCTGCATACGTTGGCTGAGGAGCAGTGTGCCCACCATGTCGTTGAGACGATGAAAGAAACGGGCGAATGAGATGTCGCGTAGCTGCCACGGGCTCAGTAGTTGCTCTGGCGCTGAAGTCGTTAGATCGGCAACAGGGGGGTGTGGGTGGATAAGGAGGAGGAGGAGGAGGAGGAGGAGGAGGGGGGCAGGGGTGGACGACGGGGAAATGGGCCAACGTCGCAAGTGGGCTGGCTGGCTGGCTATGTTCACGGTAGGGTACAGTAGTAGTAGAGTACGGTATGGTAATGCTCCAAAGATGAGGAGGGGAGGGGGCCTTGCCCGGAACGCCCTCGCCCTCGCCCTCGCCCTTCCCAATCGAAGAATTCGCTGCTGTCGTGGGAGGCGAGACTAGGTGGTTTCCGGCACGGCAGCCGCGAACGTTATGCCAGACTAGGCAGCTTAGCCGCACCACCACCAGAGCCATGGAGCCATGGACATTGGACAGAGTACGTACAGTACATACTAGGTATCTACTTCACCACTACCCAAAAAGAAAAGAAAAGAAAAGGAAGAAAAAAAGCAGGGCACACAGTCAAGTGGCCACCACTAATGCTTGGCGTAGCTTGCTTGTACTGGACTTTAGATCGCGCAGAAGCTGTGGCCCCAAGTGGGGGTGCATGGGCTGTGAAGGATCATGACGGCAACAAAAGGCAGAACTTCTTCTGGCCAAATCGCCGTCATGCTGAACAAGCATGCACTCACTAGAGTTACCACTACCACCACTACCACCACCACAATTCACACCCCCTGCCCCGTGGTGGTAGGGGCACAATCACATGGAACGGCCGGGGGAAGAAAGGTACATGCTGTGTAGAGCTGGTCATGTATATACCTGCTATATATACACACACCACGCCCCTTGCTTTGGCTCGCCATCGAGGCGCTCACAGACTGCCCATCTTTGTGCGTATGCTACTATCCTATACTTTTTTTTACTTCCAGCGCAAGCAAGCTACTCGCCAGGCCAGCGGTGTTGCCAGCGGTGTTTCTACGCATCAAATGAAAATGCTAGACGTCTGTCTATTGGCTCGAGACCACCTCTACAAGATCGGCTCTTGTCGTCGAATGCTAGTACGCAGCGCACATGGCCTACTCCAAGCAAATGCACAACCCCAACAACAGCTCAGCCTCCCTCGCCTGCCCATCATATTCCATAGGCCGCCCACCCGTCCAAATCACCCACACCCTCACTGTTGCTTGCTTGATGCAGCGAGGACCAAGCATCGTACGGCGTGCGTGTCGCAACATTCGTACCCAGTTCGACATCCAGTCACAGCTCGTCATCGTCCATCTCTGACGGCTTCAGCAGTCCACCGACCTTCATCGCTCGTTCTCGTTCTTGCTCTTTGGCCGTCTTGGCCGCCTGCTCACGCTCTTCTGCAAACAACTCGGCGTTGTCGCCTGAAAATTCCTTCAACGAGATGAGGAAGTCTCTGAGAATAACCTTGAATCGGTTGAGATCAGAGTTGGTGGCGAACAGGCCATCGATGAAAGAGGCAATTTGCGCACTAGCAGCAGTCAGTATTGAGGCTTTGGTGCATCCAAGATCACATACGTCTGAAGGTTGGGGAAAGCAGTGGCCAGGAGGTTGCCAACGAAATTGCGCAGGAATTCGCGATTGGACGTTCCTGCTGGCGCCATGTCAGGAGATGTGTAGATCGGGCCCTGCAGCTTGTCTGAGTCGACTAGCCAAAACATCTTCGCGAGCAACATGGACTGCGCCTTGAATCCAGCTTTATGATCGCTATCGGTGACGACGAAGAACACATCTTGAAGAATAGTCGTGAAGAAGGTTTGGAAGAATGTGTTGCAAGTCTGCGGGTCCGTGTCGGCCATATTGGACACGAGTTCGAAGCACATGGACAGACCAGCACTCTCGACTTCCCGGTTATCGTGCTTACTGGCCCACATGCACGAATCGATGACGAACTTGAATGAGCGCGCATCCAGTCGTAGTAGTGCCGGGAAGCAGCGGAGGTTGATCGTTCGTAAGAGCTTGAAGAATTCCACACGGTGTTCGGGATACTCGGAGAAGTCCTTGTTGATCATATCTAGTGTGCACTCGAAAACACTGTCCATGATGTTGATTATCTGGTCTTCCATCATGCTCTGTATGTATGTTAGCCATCGGTCCTGTGAGAGTTGTGCAGGCTCAATCATTATGTTTGGATAACTTGGGTCTCCAACGTACATGTAGCTTGTTGATGATCGTGGTCATGACGTTCAGTACTTCTGCTTCACGGGCATCTGGAACGTTATTCTTGTAGTCGATGAGGACAGCCTCCAATAGCTTTGGAACGATATTGTTGTGAATCATCTCGAGGTCATCAGCCTTCTCAACGTAGGTGTTGATGAGCTTGAGGATTTCCTTCTTAATCGTACGCAGACCGCGCACTTTAGGCATCTTAGTAGCAATGTTTCCTGCACCAGTTAGTCTATTTGATATACCGAAATATTGAAACTTCACATACCATCCCGCTGAACCGCCTCGTCAATAAGCTGTGAGCTCGCACGATACATTGTCAACATGTCGAAGTATATCCGTCCAATTTGGGGGTAGAAGTATGATCCGATCGAGCCACATGCTGCAACATTCGTCTTCATGATGTTGCCCACGATCTTGATGACCTCCGCATCTTGAAGACATGCCGGGTTCTGATTGGCTTGAGCAATGATATTGTCCCACTGTGATAATGTCAGATGGCATTTATGTAAGTACTATACATGAGGAACTTACAGCCGAGTTGGGTAGCGCCATGAGATCATTTATCAGCCGCTCCTGCATTCCCTTTTGCCCCTGAGCACTGATCATGTAACCGCAAGCCTCATAAAAAGTGTGAATTTGTTGAGGCGTGAGGTCAGCGGTGATCTTTCTCAAGTTGCGCACTATTTCGTCGATGAAAGGCTCCGTCTCCCCTGGCTGTAACGCGACGAAATGCCGTCTACACTTGTTCGCAATCTTGATGAAAGTGTCGCATGCCATGTCCTGAACACCCTCGTGGGTTTCATGCATGAACTCGAAGAGCTTATTGACTACAGTCTTCAAAAACTTCCAATGAGCCTTGAGGAATCGAGGATATTGCCCGACAATGTACATGATGTTACTGGCGACAACGGCCTTGTTGTCTTTCCCACGCTTCATCTCGGTCAGACCTAGTAAATCTTTAATCACAGTGACCAAGAAGCGCTTCTCGGTCTCTTCGTTCATAGCACCGGAGATGGATCCAATAGCCCAGCAAAGGGTATTGCAATTCGCCCATGACCACTCAGTTCCGTCAACTTGACGTGCCAGCTTCTCAGACATGATTTGCTCAGTGTCATTGACATCCAAGTGTGTAAGGAAGACCAGACATTCTCGAGTAGACTTGTAGAGTTGAATGGTGTCGCTCTCTTTGACAAATTCGCGCACAATTTCGCCCTCATCGTTCTCCACAATGAGCACTTCCTCGGGCCGGACCATCTTCTCGATCATCACTGTGCGTAGATTCGACAAGATCTCGGTGTATTTGTTCTTTCGCAAAGGATAATTTGCGAGCTCTCGTGCACCGTTGCCGGGAATGTTCATGTTCAAGAGGGGGTTCAGATCCGTAATGGGAAGTGCCTGCATCTCATCATAGAGCTCGGATACGAGCTTTGTCCAATATTCCAAACAGATCTTGAAGATTTCGCGGTCATCGATCTGACTTATTCGAATGAGATAGAAGTGGCCATGGGTCAAGAAGTCCCTGTTCATTAAATTTTCGATGACGTTCAGATGCATGGTGAAAAAGTTGGTAAGGAAGAGTGCGAGATTGAGCACGAATTCCTGATCCCGACTGTTGCTCGAGGAGTATGTGCTCTTCAGATCTAACGACAGGGGGATGATTTTCGAGATGGCGGTCAGAGTCTCTGTGAACATCTGTACGAGCTTATCGTCGTAAGCAGGTTCTGTGTGCAGACCTGCGATCTCAGTGAGACACTTGAGCGTGATGTTGCGGAAGTCCGGCACTTCGAGGAAGCGGCTGCGTAGCGTCTCGATCAAGCTCTGGCCACTGGGCGGGGTCTCGAAGATGTAGCCCAAAGGGATCCAGTTGAGGAAGCGGAGTAGTGTCTCCAGCGTCGCTTTGATGAGGGAAGCTTCGGTCGCGGTCCGCAGCACCTCAGAGCAGAGTTGGTAAATCGAAGTGAACTCATCACACATGCTTTGTTTGAGCTCCTTCCGCTTCGCCGATGTCATCTGTTCCTCCGAGTAGTCAAAGACTTCCTCGGACAGTAATCGGAGGATGACCATGTTGTTCTCGCAAATCCCTAAGCTACTATGGCAAGATGAGATGATCTCGTTGATGAACGTGGGCCAGTGGTGCGGCCACTCCTGCTTGAGGACGGATACGAGTGTGAGGTTCAGTTTGTGTAGTAGGGTGCGATCTGTGCGGCGACTGTCATCGTTGTTGGATAGCTGGATGATAAAATTGACGATGAAGTTTCGGATCCCTTGACACTGGTCGCGGGGAAGCACCTTCCATCTAGTCATGATGACATTGTCAAGTACTTGAAGCCCGAGATCTGTTCCCAAAGTTAGCACCGCCTCTGTCCAGTCTCGGGCCGGGCTGTTGCCTACACTTTGTCTGCGGGTACTGCGCATCGGACAGGATCTTGTCCACTAGAAGCCAGGCATCCGGATTCTCTTTGAACTAAGCAGTTGTCAGCTATCCTACAAGCCGAGTAAACGGACATGTCTTGTCCTACCTGATTCAAAGTAGCCTGAGCTTGTTTTTGCTAATGAAGACTGTGTATTAGCCTGCGTGTACACTAATGCACAAGGCAAATCGGGCTGCACATACAATATCCCCGCGACCCTCATAGAAGGTGCGCACGGTGGCATCGAGCTCTTCAATTGACACAGACATGGCGGGCTGCTGCGCGGCGGGAAGAGCTCCCAATCAGCCTGGAGATGATGGGTGCGTCCCCCCAAAAAGAAAGAAAAGGCTTGGGCACAGCCTGATATCCAAGTCCTTGGTGTACAGGCGCAGTAGCGGCCGTGTCGAGGCGGCGCGCAAAGAAGCGTTGCCTTGCAGAGGGGGGAGAGTGAAGAGGATGGCGGGGCAGCTGAGCGGTGGGGGTGACGATGCGGGCACCGGAGAGAGGGCGAAGAAGGCGTGGTAAGAGGTCGGTCGGCGGCGAGGGTACGGTAGAGCTGCTGGATGGGCTCCGTGCTATGGGCTAAATGGTTCAGGCTGACGTCGTTGTTGGAGGCACAAGAAGTGTATCATCAAAGTCGACCACGCGCCGTGCCGAGACCCAGGTTACGCGCTAAGCTGATATGGACGTATCGCCCGTGTGAACTTTAAAAGTCCACTGTGTATGGGTCTATGGTACTCTGTGTATTATTCCGTTGACATGCAGGCGGGCTTAAGACTTCTATAGTAAGGTTTGCGCAATGCACAAGTCACACTGCCATGATGGATTGCCTGCCATGCGCAGTACGGAACGAGTTTGGTTCTTTGAAGGATGAGCCCTTTGCTACCTATATAGTAGCTATACAGCACATCATCTATCATAAACGCCAGGTTCCACACAAGACACGAGTGAGTGAGGCAAACGCAATGAACTCACTTCGTGGCATCAAGCATTGAGGAGTAGATCCAAAAGCTCGTTCCTGTGCAAGTCAAGCAAAGATTCTTTCATTCCTCTACCAATCACTGCCTCTCCCCCTTCAGAGGTGTCGTCACAACCATGTACAGATTGTGGGTCCAAAGTCCCATTTTTGTGCAGGAAAAAAAAAGTAAAGTTGTCATGAGCGAGTACTACTGTGTAGCATAATCTATGTAACCTCTGCTGATTCCCCATCTATCAGTACACTCGGAACGAGTCAATCCAGATTGGGTGCCCAGCCATGGGTCTGGTCTCCTCTACGCGCAGCGCGAAAACAGGCTCGTCATAGGGAAGACTTGAGGCTGCCGTTAAGTAGTGTTTTGTAGAGCTGGCGGTGTTTAGATGAGGGAAGAGAGGGAGCGAGAAGTTCTGGCAATTTTGTACTCCATCCAGCGCTCGGGCTCACGGATGGGCTTGCTAAGTCCGAGTCGGGATTAGCGTCTGGTTTGTTCCAAGGTGGCCTCCATGATATCCCTCCCGCGCATTGGACGCAGACTCCCAAAGCTGTACAAGCGTTAGCAGCAACAACTCTGTGTCTTCGTTGTTAGCCTCTGCGCGAAGGCCTTCCATTCCAGCGGCCACGTCGCCCTCCATCTCCGACATCTTTTGGCCGCGACATCTGTCCTCGCACACTCGTCCCTACCACTATCCACACCGCCCCGCCAACTGAAGCTGTGGCAGCCCTCGGTCCCACCACCAACCCTCCCACGCCTACTCGACGTCAAATCCACCATGGCCGACTTCGAGGCATTGAAGGATCAATGGAGCGAGATCGAGGACAGAGATGGCATCCGCCTCAGCTGGAACACGTTTCCTAGCTCACGCATGGTAAGAGGCCTGGGGCTCTTGTTGCCATTGTCGAATGTTAACATGTGATGCAGGAAGCGTCGCGCCTTGTTGGTAAGCGCATCGGGCAGAACTCTTCTCATAGCATGGTTGACCATTCCAGTACCCATTGGCGCCCTGTATACACCCTTGAAGGAGAAGACGGATACTCCTCTACTTCAGTATGCGCCTGTTGCTTGTCGGCCGCCCTGCAAGGCTGTCCTCAATCCTTTCTGGTACGTTACAAAGTCAACCCATTGCTCCTCTTGCATGCTTGCTAAAAAGAGTACAGCCAGGTTGATATGCGCGCCCGCGTGTGGATATGTCCCTTTTGTCTCCAGCGCAACAACCTGCCACCGCACTACAAGGACATCTCAGCAGAACAGATACCCCCGGAACTGCACCCTAACAGCACCACCATCGAATACCGACTGCCCCAGCCAGTTCAGACCCCACCCATCTTCATCTTTGTTGTAGATACCTGCCAGGAGGAGGACAGCTTGAAGGCGCTTAAGGACTCCATCATCATGAGCCTGAGCCTGCTCCCACAGTATGCGTTGGTTGGTCTGGTCACATTTGGCACTATGGTATGTGCTTTGGATCGAGATACATGGCTACGTCTTCTAATGAATCTAGACGCAAGTCCACGAGCTTGGCTACACTGAATGCGCCAAGTCATACGTCTTCCGCGGCAGCAAGGACTACTCCACCAAGCAAGTCCAGGATATGCTTGGCTTGGGACAACTAGGTGCTCGTCCAAATGTTCAGCAGCAGCCTGGACGGCCTCCAGTTGTGCCCCCAGGGGGGGCCGGCGCCCGCTTCATTCTCCCTGTGTCACAATGCGAATTCCAGTTGACCAATGCTCTCGAGCAGCTGCAGAGGGACCCCTGGCCAGTTGCGAATGATAAACGTCCCCTGAGGTGTACTGGTGTTGCATTGAGTGTAGCGGCAGGGCTTCTGGAAGTGCCTCCATTCGTGAACACGGGAGCGCGCATCATGCTGTTCAGCGGTGGTCCAGCCACAGAAGGTCCCGGCATGGTAGTCGGGCCTGAGCTACGAGAGCCCATGCGCTCGCACCATGATATCGATCGCGACAACATTAAATACTACAAGAAGGCTCTGAAATTCTACGAAGGCCTCGCGAAGCGCGTTTCGCACAATGGGCATATTGTTGATATATTCGCCGGATGCCTCGATCAAGTTGGTCTACTCGAGATGAGGGGCCTTGCCAACACAACCGGTGGACATATGATCCTGACCGACAGTTTTACATCGTCCATGTACAAGCAGTCATTCGCACGAGTCTTCAACAAGGATGCTGAGGACAACTTGCTCATGGCTTTTAACGCGAACCTTGAGGTTCTCACGACCAAGGAGCTAAAGGTCACTGGTCTCATCGGCCACGCCGTATCACTTAACAAAAAGTCGGTTTCAGTCGGCGAGACTGAATGTGGTATTGGAAACACATGCGCATGGAAGATGTGCGGTATCGACCCTGAGTCGTCCTACGGTATCTACTTCGAGATCGCCAGCCAGGGTGGGCCAAACCAAATGCAGGCGGGCCCTCAAAAGGCGATGATGCAATTCCTTACATATTACCAACACGCCGCTGGTCAATACCATCTTCGAGTTACCACCGTCGCTCGGAACCTGAGTGGGCCATCAGGCGACCCTGCTATCGCCCAATCGTTCGATCAAGAAGCTGCTGCTGTGCTCATGTCAAGAATAGCAGTCTTCAAGGCCGAGGTTGATGATGGTCCAGACGTTCTGCGATGGGTCGATCGAATGCTTATCCGTCTGTGCTCTCGCTTTGCAGAATATAGGAAAGATGATCCGTCATCATTCAGGCAGGTTATATGTGATTATCTTACTGAACGTATAACTAACATTACTCCAGACTCGAGAAGAACTTCACACTGTACCCACAGTTCATGTTCCATCTTCGACGATCGCAGTTCCTACAAGTCTTCAATAATTCACCAGATGAAACTGCATTCTATCGACATGTACTCAACCATGAGGACGTGAGCAATTCTCTCATTATGATTCAGCCAACACTCGACAGCTACGGCTTCGATCACGAGGGCGGGCAACCTGTTCTACTAGATTCGAGCTCCATTCAGCCCGAGACCGTCCTACTCCTCGATACGTTCTTCCACATTCTCATCTTCCATGGAGAAACTATGGCTGAATGGCGAAAGGCTGGTTACCAAGAGCAGGAGGGGTACGAAAACTTCCGAGCGCTCCTGGAAGCCCCAAAGGAGGACGCCAAGGAACTCATTCAGGACCGCTTCCCACTGCCGCGTTTCATTGTGTGCGATGCTGGTGGTTCACAGGCACGTTTCTTGCTTTCCAAGCTCAACCCTTCGACAACGCACACTACAGGCAGCTATGGTGGTGTAGCTCAGACCGCGCAGACTATCTTTACCGATGACGTCAGTCTGCAAACGTTCATGGACCACTTGATGAAACTGGCTGTTTCAGGCACTAGCTAGAGGTTCGGTCAGACGAAGAAAGATTGAAACAACATGGATGGCGGAGAATACGACTAGCATTTCAACCATCAATTGATCGTCGTTTGAGCTGGGTAGATTTTGCCGTTGTAGTTGGACTCACTTGGGTTGTGGAGCTCTAAGCGATGCTAGCAATACATGATAATATCCAGTATGTATCTTCACTCATCGTCGACATATTGACGTAAATTTTCATATGCATCTCTTTCCCGCCAGATGATAGCTGTTCCATAAAAACTGCGTAGCACAATTGACATATAGCTACTATGGTCGGTCGGTTCCTTACATAATAGTATATCCAGGAAGCCCTTGAACCATGACTTCCCTGTCTGGTACGCACGCCAATAACTTACAATTTCGGATACTCTGAGAAGAGTGTGAAGTGGACATGGACATGAAGAAGCTGGTATGTAAACGGTCTCCGCGGTGACATCTTCCCATGATACCACGGCCATACTAGGAGAGATCCTGATGGAACGACTGCCAAGAGAACAGTGGGCGATATTTCATGTTCACGGCAATTCAAAGTTCAAGCGGTGAGCGTCAGGTGAAGGACGATGTCGCAGAGAGGTGGGGTGGGCATAGCGAGACGTCATTGCAGGAAGCATCAAGGTATCAATAGTAGTACATGAGCATACCATACTATTTCGTTACACAGTACAGTCGACCAACTTCCCTCTGCATGGCCAGCTCATCATTCCAAGGCAGATACACAACCAACCGTATTTAGAAATCACCATCCAAGACCCTGGAAGCCAAGCATCCATGTCATCAGTCAGTCCCAATTCATAAATTCTAAACACACTCCCCGACCCTCCATGCAAGCCACACCGCAAAAAATCCTCCTAATTCCCGAAGCCGCCAGCCAGCCATCATGTGCCACTCAACGTTCAGCAACCTACACGTGAACCGCCTCGATTACCTTCCACCAACCATCATCCGCACAACGCCACATGCAGCCTGGATGATGCGTAACATACAGTACCGTCCATGCACGCCGTCTTCCGGTGGAGCCACCACCACTATCCGCCATCCCCACTCTCTCCGTCCATGCCCTCGACGTCTAGATCGCTCGAATAGAAGAAAGGCGGGCACAGCTCGCTTACCCACTCTTACATATCAACAAGTTTCATATACGTGACACGACACACCTAGGTTCTCCGGTTTCCCATCTCCCCCGCTTTTCGTCAAGAGCGAAGCGAGGTGGAAGTAATGAGACGGCGGTTCTGCGGGTGTAGGCGAGGGAGGGTTGACCTGCAGATTTTGGTAACCGTGTTCCTGGTCCCCGGAGTCTTGATCCTGGTTGTGGTGGTGGGGTTTGGAGGCTGGGGCGCGAGGATGGCGGGACACGGAAGGTGGCTTTGGACTGCTTGTAATCGCGGGTCGAGAAGGGCCGTGAGCTTTGGAGGAGGAGCGCGTACGTACGGGTCGGTCATAATCATTCATATAGTTACATGTCTGTGAAGATATCAAGGCATTTTATTTAGACAAGTTTTTATTATTGAATACAAGTAAACATTTCATAATCTGTACAAGTGTGAATAGCCTTGGTACGAAAAAACTCTTGCGTCTGGCATGTAATACTGATAAATCATTGGCGATAAGGAGCTGACAGACTAGAGCTCTACAGAGCTTAGCGCCTATTTGAAGCAGCCTGAGAGGGTGAATGTTCAATTAGAGAAAAGGCCGCAAGTGATGCGAGTGGCTCATCATATTTACAGGTCCACATAGGCAATGAAATACAATAAGCGTCAAGGCACTATGGAAACTATATACCATAGATGGATCCTACTCGGTGTCTTTTGATGGTCGTCGGACCGATCGGCCGGGAAACCTACTCCTTTCCTCTGTGAATCATTGGCCTGTACATACCATCGTACGTGTATACTCCTCATACTGTCATAGTTTCGCTACATACTATGTTGACCAGGCTTACTTACTATTTTGATGGCCAAACCCATCGGTCAGGTCCTGCGTACATAGTATATGGTACGTGAACACGCCAATTTCGACGCTACCGTAACTGCGTATACTTATTAATACTAGCCCGAGATTTCTGTCATGGCTCTCTCGGCCAATCCATATCAAAGCTTGGGCGAGTATCTACTAGTATATTTGTATAGACATAAACATGCCACTCTCCTGTCCAGACTGGAAAAGTACAAATTAGGTATTCGCAACTCTTCTACACACTCAACCCCACTGTTCTTACCAGCTATCAGCATGAAGCTTATTCTTATTACTGCCGTGTTAGCATAGGCCCTGGCAGTAGCAGCTGGCGGTGGACAAGCATGGTGTACAAGCCATGGAGTGGGTATGCCCGTCTTTCATAGTTGTCAAGTATGTATTGATCCCGTAACGAGCCTTTTAAAGCACTAATAGAAGTAGGGACGTGACGAACGAGATGTTTTCTGTGTATGTTAAGTCAGGCATGGAAACTTATTAAAGTAAAATTCTAACACCTGGCCTGGCATAGTGTGAGCGGAGACAACTGAAGGGGCTAGACGTCTCTCGAGGAGAATGTGAATTGATCTACAATGCCAATGGGGGCACAGAGATAGACATTGCCTGCCCGACCGGGGGAGAAGGTGTAAGTACTCATCTGACTAGTCTCCTGCGCTGTTACAATTATGTACTATCCTACGTAGCTTATCCACTACGTAAGAGCTTCCCCCCCCCCCCCTTCACCCTAATTCAGTAGAACTAAAGTCTGGGCAGTGCAAGAAATCATGAGAAGTGGGCAATTAGGTACAGGATTGGGTGTATGCGGCATCGGCGCGTTGAGGATGTGGTGATGGAGGGGAGAGGAGAGAGATGTATGGTCGGATTCGAAGCACAGAAGTAGATTCGACATGTTCTCGTCTACAAATATCATGTGCCTAGAGAACGAACACAGCCTTCTCCGGAAGTCATATCTGGGCAGTACTGCAGTGGACCGAAACACCGCCGAATGAATGAGACACCCTAATGAGAGTCATATACGTAGGCTTCGCTGCACAGTTTGGTCAGGACGTGAGATTCGCGGTAGTGACGGCAATCGTGGCAGAGAATCGGTAGAGATGGAAAGTATAACAAGACGGTGGTGCAGGGCTCAACTTGGAACAACAAGCAGCTGACCTGCAAGGTCTTCCGAAATCTGGCGATAGAGCTTGTCAACACATAGATGGCCTGGCGCTGAGGAAAGCCTCGCTGCATTCCGATGATCTGTGGGGCTCGATCTCCGACCCGTACCGGTAGCGGCAATCGGAGGTGTGTACCCATCTTTTACCCCAATTCCTACAAGACTGCACACACAATTGTTATTTCTGTATCACCCATAGTGCTTACCTTATACCAAGGCGGTGACTGCCCACCACTATTGGCGACTCCCCTATCCCGGGTTGACTGGGAGACACCCATTTGGGACTAGTGGGGATATCTATATCTAGCTACCTTAGCTTCTTCCTCTATAGATTCTTTAATTAATACTTTTATCACATTAGGTTATAAGCCTAGCTTATCCGCTAGCATACTTAGCTTTATTTACTAGTACCTGCTTGTATTAATCTCTCTTTATTAGCTTCTACTACTTTAGCTATATACATCGCTAATATTTACTATTATCGTGGCTTCCTATTCTAACCTATTTAACGCGTCCCTACTACTATTACTAGCTCTACCTATAGCTTTATTAGAGGTACTACTGTTGCTATATCTACTATTACTAGAGATAGATCCTCTCCTAGGACTATTAGCACCACCCCTAATACCTATTATATTTACTAAACCTGCATTTAACTTCTACCTAGACCCTTCCTTATTGCCTAAACTAGGTTCCTAAGGCGAGAACTATCTAGAATAGTAGTTAGCCTAGACTATAGTATTTAGATATGCAGGCATTTAGCCTATCCTTGCTAGAAAGAAGCTAAGACTAATACTTCCTTCTAATACTAAGGACTAGGACAAGCAGGATAATAAGGCTTTAGTTATACTACTATTATTAGTTTATAATAACCTAATAATAAGCGTAGCAAGCTATAACACCTCTCTAGAAGCCTAGAAGCATCTCGCTAACCGCTTTAATAGGGACACAGGTAATACGTTAATCTTACTCTTTTAGTTGCTTATAAACCTCTACTATTATAATAGAGATAACCTTAGACTGCACCTTAATAAATTCTACTAACGCTAGACACGTATAGCTAAACGTTGCACAATATCTATATAGCCTATCGCGGTAGTAATACGTGACATATTTAACTTAGATTAGGTTAAGGGCTTATTCTTTCTTACTACTCTACCTAAGATAATAGACAACATTATTAATAACTTATCTACTAGGAACGTAACCGCGTTTAAAGACATTAAACCTAAGATCCTAGACATTTCTAAGAAGTACTTATTAGATGTTGCTAACTCCTTAGCTACTTATATAGCTAGATAAACAGCGTCTAGATAGCTAAACACTAATAGACTACTATTGTCTAGTACCTCTACACTAGAATGTACCTAGTATTAGAAGCATAACCTATTATTTATTAGTTATATCTATCCTAATTATAAGCATCTTAAGAAGTATAAAGAGAACTAAGTAAAGGGAAAAGCTAGCACTATATTATAGTTATTCTTATTATTAGGCTCTTAGAAGAAGCAGAAAGCAAATAACGCTGCTGCAATTAACCTAGATAAAGACTCTAACAGCTTAACTACTATTATTAGTTACTCTACTTACTATTATATTAACTTAACTACACTACTACTATTATTATTATTACACCTAGTGCTTAACTCTAATAGTAAACGTACTAGATTAGTAAGTGCATTTGCAGCAATCTATTAACCTACTACTATTAACCTACCTATATAGCTTTTTAATACTAGTGCCTCTAGGCATATATCTAGCTACGCTAATAACTTCCTATCCTTAATACTAAAGACAGGCACTATTACTATGGCTAGCGGTATTAAGCTCCCTATACAAGGAATTAGCACAGTTTAACTTCGCCTGCAGCTCCCTAATAGCTTAACTAATATTGTAGTACTAACTAACATACTCTATAGCGCTAAACTCTATAGCACCTACTTATTCTTATAGATATTTATTAGATATAAGGGGTTTAAACTATTCACTAAAAAAGACAACCTATACCTTGTTAGATATAGTTAATATACACTATAGGCAAGATATATACAAGGCCTTATATAGCTCTAGACTAAATAATTACTATTACTATTACTATCTACCTGTATGCTTACAAGCTCGTCCTCTCCTAATTAAACATTAATAGCCTTAGCCCTAACAACGATAATAACGAAGGCAACAGTAATAGCGACAAAGGCGAAGGAGACACACACACACAGAGGCAAAGGCTTTAGGATATACTAGAATTTCTACAAGGCTATAGGATATCTATTAGTGCTAAACCTATTACGTATCTATACTAATAGATATCTAGTGCTAGATAAACCTAAGGATTTTACATACACTATATATTAATAATTAAAGTTAGTGCACTATGTGCTAACACAGGGGACACCACGCTATACCTAGCTACTTAAGCTTATTTATTCTAACCTCTTAGGAAAAATACCTACTTAAAGTATTAGTAGCTTATAGTATTACATCTCCTTTGTTAATAACTACACTTAATATTCCTAGATTTAGTTTCTTAAGCTTAAGGCTAACGCACTATAAGCTATTAAGGACTTTATTACCTATGCAAACACTTAATTCTATAATACTAGAGCTATAACTAATAATAGCGTCCTATAACATTCTATTGTTAAGACCTTCTGTTCTAATAATGGCGGCGAATACATTAGCTATAATCTTTAGAAATTTTTTATAGCTAAAGGAATTATCTATAAATTAACACTACTATACTACTATGAATTAAATGGCGTCCCTAAGCAATTTAACTGCACCCTATTCTAGATTACTTAATATATAATACTATCTAATAATCTACTTTTCTTATAGGCTAAAGCAATAATATTAGCAAATTTTCTTAAGAATATCGCGCTATATTCTTTAGACCTATTGCGACGTACCCTACACGAATAGCTCTTTAGGAAGAAGCTATCTATTTAGCACCTCTAACTATTTAGCATCTAAGGCTATATCTATATTCCTATAGAGGCCTAGAAGCTAGGTACTAAACTCCTACACCGCTCTAAAGAAGGTATCTTTGTTAGCTATAGTTGTAGTACTAGGACAAGCTGTCTCTATATACTATAACGAGCTGTTATTATTAAATCCTAGGATGTTACCTTTATCCTATAGGTTCCCTAAATATTTTAAACTATTTAAGACTAGGGAATTAAGCATAGTCTATAATATTTAGACATAGAGCTTTAATATTTATAATAGTAGCCTAAGGAATTAGTTATAACGCTTCCTCCTATTAAAGTTCTTAATAACACTAAGCTAGGGGATATAAGTAACCTCCTATCTGCACCTTAAACACCTACGCTTAAGTCTAGAGCGACAAACCTGCTACATAACCTCTTAAGTAGCCCTAACTATCTCTCTATATAGGCACCGCCTAGGATAGGACTAGACTCCTCCTCTCTAGATGCTTAGAATTCACGAATATCCGCTCTAGCCTAGAAGAAACCACGCACAAAAGAGACACCTGCATTAACACCTATAGCTATAACTTACATTAGAAGATAGATAAGAAAGCTAGAGCGATACTAGGGATCCTATACTATAATATAACTATTTACCTTTACTATAACTTATAAAGAGGATACACTAGTATATACCTCTTTGTTTTTAATAACTTTCTCTACTACTATAATATTATTAGACACTCCTAGGATATTTATAGAAGTAATAGATAATAATTATACTACCCTATAGCAGCTAGCTATTAATAAAGAAATTACTAATTATGTAGAAAATAGCATATAGGAAGTTGTACCCTATTACAAGATACCTCTAGGTGTAAAGCTTGTAGGCACTTAATAGGTCTTTAATACTAAGCAAGATAAATCTAGCAATATTATTAAGAGAAAAGCAAGACTTGTAGCACAAGGATTTTTATAGTAACTAGGTTTTAACTATAATAATATATACTTACTAGTAGTTAGATATAATAGTCTATAAATCCTTCTAGTCCTTGCTACTCTATATAGGTGGTAGACACGACAAGTAGACTTTAACGCCGCATACCTAAATAGATATCTTAAGCACAGGATCTATTATTAACTGCTACTAGGACTGCTATCTAATAGCGCACTGTTCCTACTTAAGACTCTCTATAGTCTTAAGCAGTCTAGACGTGAATAGTATGCTGTCCTGTCTAAATAGTTAAAGTCCTAGTATTTCTCCTAGGCTAACTTTAATCCTTATATCTTTATCTTAAGTAATCTTGTCCTTAGAATCTATATAGATAATATTCTTATAGTTAGTACTTAAGAATAGATTAATATAATGCTCTATCTTATAAAGGCTTATTTCTACTTTTAAGACCTAGGATAACTATATATAATACTAGGGCTTAAAATTAACTATTTTAATAATTATATAGAACTTTACTAACGCACTTATATTGCAGCTATCCTTTAACACTATAGTATAACTAACTATAATAGTTAACACACGCCTATTAACCCTAGCTTATTCCTACCTTACACACCTATAGATATACTAGTTAATGCAGACTAATAGAAGAAGTTCTAATCTATTATTAGCTCCCTTAACTTTATAGCAGTTATAAGCAGACTAGATATAGCATACATAATTAGCCTACTTAGTTCCTATAACGCTAATCTATTAGAAGGACATCTTAAGCTAGTATTCTAAGTGCTCTAGTATATCCGCGTGACATTAGATTACTAACTAATAATTAGGACACAGCCTGCTAGATAACCTACTTAGATTATAATATACTTAGACGCATTATATGTATTAGACCTAGATAACTTAAAATTATTCTCTAGTTATATCCTTAAGGTTAATAGGTTAGTTATCTTATAGTTATCTAAGCGATAGAGCTGCGTTACTTAAAGCACATGTAAAGTAGAGTATATAGCTGCCTTATACGCGGTATTACATCTTATCTAGGCTTAACGCGCTATTATAGAATTCCTGCTAGTTACACTACTATACTACCTGCTTGTTAATAATAAACTAGCTATTACACTTATTTAAGACTAGAAGTTAAACCTACAGTTAAAGTATATCCACGTTTATTACTACTTTGTAAGAGAACAATTCCTAGCAGGCAACTTTAATATTAAATATATTTAATCTAGGGATAATCTTATAGACTTATATATAAAAGCGCTCCTATAGCCTATATTAGAGAAGCTTAACACTAGGATATTAAATATTACAGACAAGATATAATATTTTTATTACTTAGGAGACTAGGGGATATAGTTTTTCTCTTATTTTCTTTGTATATTTATAGTTACTATAGATTTAGGGGACTGTTATTTCTGTATTACCTATAGTGCTTACCTTATACTAAGGCGGTAACTGCCCACCACCATTGGCGACTCCCCTATCCCGGGTTGACTGGGAGACACCCATTTGGGACTAGTGGGGATGTCTATATCTAGCCACCTTGGCTTCTTCCTCCATAGATTCTTCAATCAATACTTTCATCACATCAACAATGATGTCTAGGCTCACAAGTGAACTTTGACCACCATGAGGGTAACAGGTCTGCAAAGTCGAAATAAGCGGATACTCCGTGCATATGAAGCTTTTCTCTTTGCACTATTCCCTATATTAGGCACTCGCTTACAGAAGTTCCTTTTGTAGAGTACCGGTATCACCCATTTCCTCCTTGACTCGCACATGAAAGCACAATGACATCTGGCATGCAATCACTTTGCCCGTACATACTCGTTGCACAGCAAGCCCATCCTTGCGCCATACATAGCACAAAAATATCCCCCGGCCAGCACTGCCCTATTGCAAGCCTAATGTCGTACGACTGCGGAGGCGGCGCCAGCCACCACTATAGGAAGAGGCATGGGGTCAACGGACGACGATGATGTTTGCGCCCGGGGTTTTGGAAACGGGATGAGACATGGGCACTCTTCTGGAAGCGGCGACATCTCGACTTGTCGCTGAGTTTGAAACAATCAATGTGGGAACGGCACGGCAATAAGGGCGACGAGGAGGCTGGGCAAAAAGCGGGCAAGGTGTCATGCAAGAGTCTGGACGGATGGAGGGGTTAGGAGCGTACAGATGGTGCACAGCACTGTGTAGCTTCTGTAGCGACCAAGTGCAGCATGAGATGAAGCGATGGCACATCAACACTGAGCAGGCCACGACCCGTTTTTTGCAGGTCACGAAGTCTTCTTTAGCACAAGCATTGGAGAGAGACAGAGAGAGAGTCAAAGTATTGGATGTGAATGTTTTCATTGATTCATTGGATCAAGTTCAGATGGGCATCTGGAAAAGCTGTGCTGCCCTTGCAGACGCCCTCATCAGTGTCACACACAATGGCGAGCCCAGCCGTCCCACCTGCCACTGATCAGGTCCCATGGCCGGTCCCATGGCCACTCCCATGTTCATCCAATAGAGATTAACGATATTGTATTGAAACACACTCTAACAAGCTCAACGTTTCCTTCTTCCAAGGGTCAAATGACCCACGACTGCGCTTGCCCTCTCGAGTCCCAGACAAGGACGAGTAGGTATAGCCGCCGAGCAGAGCGCAATGTCCTGGCCACTTCAATAGTGAGCATGCGCAACGGATTAAATGAAAATGTGGCTGAATGGCCAATGCTGTGCTGACCGTGTCCTCATGATGCTCTCGCTTTTAGTTACCCGCCATGATTTCTAAACCCAATAGAAAAGCCCCGGTTGAGGAACCGGTAGCAACAATGCCGCTCCGTGATGTGATGAACAGGAAAGCCTCTCTAGTTTTCGTTATGCGACAAAGGAAATTCGTGATTGTTGAAGAACGTGAGGTATAAGTCGTGGCTCGAATAAACGAGCGGAACGCTGCCATACAGTCGTACACCAGAAACCGCCCTGAGCGCCATGAAGCCATGTAATGGTACATTTGGGGAGCAATGAATATTAATCGCACGCGAATATTGACAGGGAAAAAAACCGTGAAAGGGGTCACGACACCCAGGGTCTAATGGCCTCGAACGCCAGCCGAAGACCGGCCCAAGAAGGTACCAGGGAAGCGCAAGTCGCTAAGGAACTTGAAAAATGCACGCTTGCGTGACGGTGTCCTAGGTAGTAGTGCTGCAGCTTGTTGCATGGGACCGACAATATCCTCGTCACCAAGCTTAGGGAACTTGCCCGCACCCTTGGGGTCGTTGAGCGTCGGCATCTTGCTGAGGGGTCCAGGTTCGGTGGGTGAGGTCGGCTCCAGGTCTTGGCCGATGGCTACTGCGTGTGACTTAGCCAGCTCATGGTTTTCCTTCCACTTGGCGTCGATTTCGGCCCATTTTTGCTCCGTCAGCAGGTAGTGTTTAGATGTCACACCGTAATGTTCCGCTGTTCGCACTTGGTGCTTCGCATAGTTAAGCCGGGCTTGCGTCCAATCATTCAGTAGCTCTTTGACAGACCCAGCATTGCAGACTTCGGGCACATAGGGTTCTGGCAGTATGGTGAAGTTTGCATGGCCTAATCTGAAAGCCCAAGTATCGCTCTGATCTGGAAGCATCATTGGCGGTATGTCTGTGGCTGTCGAATAGCCATTCCGTGTTGCCTTGAATGACGCGATTGAGGGTTTGGATGATAGCGGCGGAGTGGGGAACGCGCTCTGCGGCGGTGTGCCCACGGGTGTCCAGGCTGCTGATTGCGTCGCGTCTGCAACAGATGGCGATTGCAGGGGCGATGATGTGGGTAGATCATCGTTGCGACCCTCATTGCGGCAATTGACCAGGAGGGGAGGCAGGAGGGGAGTGGTAGCATATCGCTCGCGCTCAATCTCTTCCACATCGATCTCAATGGCATTGGCCTTTGCAATGTCAATGGCCATTGGCGTTGGCACCTCGTCATCCACCTGTTCACGGCTTGCCAGAGGGGAAACCGGTGTTGGCGATGCGTACTCTTCTGTAAGATCTACCGTGGAGGCGTGGTGAATGGAGCCAGCCAGTGATGAGGAACGCGTGGATGGAACCCTCGAGGGAGTGGCACTGCGAGCGACCTTGCTCAGAGTGGAGCTACGATCGCGGACTTTGCGCGACAAGGAGGGAAAACGCCTGCCCAGCTTACCGGCAATGCTATGTGCAGAGGCTTCCAACGACCTATGCCGCTTGGCAAGGTGCAGTTCCGAGTCGCACGTGGTGAAGTACTCGTCCTGGGGGTCATAGGCCTTTAGGATGCGGCAATCTTGCGCATGTCCATAGGCATCAACATCGCCTGAAGTCTCTATAAGTACATGTCGATTTCGAAGTCAAAAGTCAGGACTACTTACATGAACAGAGATAAGGGTCCCCGTTGTCATAGTCGTAGTCGCGCTCGATTGGCTCCTCTGTAAGCTTGGGGAGCTTCCCCGATGCATTTGGCTGCTCAATGGGCTCGAAGGTTGGTGGGCTCGACGACAAGGACGAGACGGAGCTGGGGAAGCGAAAGTGACCTCGCGAAGAGTACATGCTTGGCGTGGGAGGCGTGGAGCACTCCGAGGCCGAGTAGAAGCCAGAGTCGGCATTGGAGTAGATGGACGAAGTTGGCTCGTCTGACATGTTGAGAGAGCCTTTGGAGGACTTGCGAGCAGCTACGAGCTTGGGCAAGACGAGTGGTTTAAGATCGTGCATGCTGATGTGGATGGTGGTGACGTGAAGTTTGGCGAAGGGTGCTGGGATCCCATTCCCAGTTAAAGAACACCAAGTGCGCGCGCCGTGGGGCCAGCGAGGCGGCAGGTGGGCAGGACCAATTTGGAAGCAGAGGAGGCGGTCGCGAAATGTTTTGTTTGGAGAGGGCGGGGGTGGGTAGCCTGCGAGGGTGCCACGAAGCCGACCACGTAGGTTCTTTTTTGGCCTGTTTATCCAGCGAAGGGGCTTTGGTTGCAAAAGTCAGCGCCCGTCGGCTGGCGGCCACACTCGATTGGGGACAGCACGTGAGCGGTGACGGGGGGGGTGGTGGAGCCCTTCTCTTCAGAGGCAGCGTGGTTGGAAAGACGAGGCGGTGGCACTAGCGAGCGACAACGCAGCAAATGCTGGTGATGGCAGGTTTGGCAGGTTTGGCAGATGGCGCAGATTGGGCAGGCTGGCGGGCTGGCGGATATTGGCAGTAAGACTGAGGATGACTGACGTGGGCGGTCGAGAGAATGGGAAATGGGATCGGTGACAGTCGGTGGAAGTCGATGGGGGAGGGGGAGGGAGAGGGGAAGGGGAGCGGATGGGTGGGGAGGGGGGGGGAGAGGTGGACCATTTGTGAGTCCACACTATTGTACTCTACAGTAGGTATGAGAGTCTGTGTGTGTGTGTGTGTGTGTGTGTGTGTGTCTGTGTGTCTGTTGTGGGTGTGGGTGTGGGTGTGTCTGCGTGTGTCTGTGTGTGTCTGTGGGCACTTGCAATGCACTGGGCAGCCGCCCCTCGGGAAGGCGCACGGCGCCTGCTTCCTTGGAACCAGAACCAGAACCAGACCAAGACCAGGTGCCCACCCTCCCAGCTTCTCTCTTCCATCGCGTTAGGATGGCTACTACGCCAAGCGCTTCCTTCACTGTCACTACATATCCACAATAAGGTCCTGTCCTCTAGTAGAACCCAGGGCCCCCTTGATGCCGGCTAGAGAGCAACGGGTATAGAGTATACTGACTGGCATGCCTCGCTGGGTGGCGGCAGCTTGACTGACCTCCCCGGTTTCAAACGACTTCCTACTACCACCACCACTACCACCACCGCCTTGCCTGCATCGGTACACAACCACCGTGACACCCAGACACACATGAGAGCGCTGCCACCAACACTACTACTACTACTACTACTACTACTACTACTACTACTACTACTACTACTACTACTACTACTACTACTACCACCACCACCATCACCATCACGACACCACCGACTTCCCCCCCCCCCAAGCCAGCATACCGAGGCCGCAGCAGCACGGCAGCGCGCAGGCCAGATTCTGCCAGATTCTTCACTGCAACGCACCAGGCTTGGAAGAGGCCGAATTTTCTTGTCCAGCCAACAGCAGAGATAGGTTGTACTGTATAGTATGTACATTGTAATATCCTAAGCAAAAGGCCGATGATGGTGGTGGTGGTGTGGAGAAAGCTCTCTATGTACTGTACACAGCATCCCTGGCTGGCTCCACCCCGTCCAGAGCAAAAAAAAAAGGGTTGAGCAAGCCATGCAGGAACGTTCAGTCTTGCTCAGAGCCCAAACCCCCCGGTCCACTTGGCCATACTGCAACGACTTTGCATGCATAGATAGCATAGGTAGATGGTGTACTCTACAGCGCATGTAGTAGAGCCTTCTGCTCCCTCTGTCGACTTGAGCTGCCAACAATCTATTTGGCATTGCGCCGTCTTGTCGTGCTACCAGCAAGGTGGTTCTGAAGGGCTGTCTACCATTCAAACTCCATGCAAGTGTCACCGTGGCGGCGAATGGACGGATGATGGGGCAGTGCATGCAGAAGCCTGGCCTGCTTCGAACACCCTACCCTCATACCCCTCTAGAGTACCGGTACCACCAGCGCTCGTGCCCCGGAGGCGCCATTGTCTTGCCCTTTGCTGTGTCGGAGCGATGACATCGACGAGCATCTAGTGGGAAACCGGCACCTAGAAGCGATGGCGTTCTTCCACCGTTGTCCCGTCCCAACCTCCCCTGCCCGCCGATTGGCTGGAATAGTTGGAAAGGACGGGACATGGGGACGAGGAACAACAACAGTAGCAAGAGAAGAAGAAGGAGGAGGAGGGCGACGAGGAACACGCATGCAGTCGCCGTCATAAATTCCCCATCTCTACCAAAATGCCCATCCCACCCATCCATCCACCCCACTGTCTGCGCTTCATCACCACTTGGTTTTCATTCGACTCAGCCCTGGGCCAAAATAGGACACGACATGGTGCCTGACGGAAGGCGCTCGAGGAGGTTGGGACAGACAACCCTTCAGCCCACTGACGGAAACTAAAAGTTTCCAGACGAATCGGGTAGCCGACAGAAAACATGGCAATAGAGTACTATACTCCAAGCTGGTCTCAAACCCTAGCGCTTGTTTGTGTGCCACTGCTGCAGCGGGCTTTTGTTTTGCTTAGGTCCTTGAAGTAAGTACTATGGGTAGGTAGGCAGCCACATAGAGTGTGTGCCATCTCACTCTCCCACAAACCCGCTCTCACACACGGGTTCCTGCATTCTCTTTCTTTTCTTCTTCTTTTTGCCACAGGTCCTTGTCAGCCTCTAGGGCGGGCGGTTGGTGGCCGACTGGGCTGGGCCAGTTGTTCATCGTGATTGACAGTAGATGGGTCAGGAACGCCTCTGACGAAGAAGGGCAGCGCAGAAATTCTTTTGCCAAGCGAACTTACCCTGTTTGGGCGCGCTAGTCGGCCATGTAGACTCTGGTGCCCGGGCTCTCGGAATCGCAGGATGAAAGGATGAACAGCCGCGGCGGGCTTGGTGAGGGGCTCCGATCATGACGATAGGCGCGCTACAGCGTTTCCCTTCGGTCCAGTCCCAATTCGGTAGTCAGCCCGGCACATCCAGCCCGACTTCTGAGCTGAAGAAGAAAGTCTCTCTCCGTCACTGGCGAGACGCCATGTGCCGCACACATGTACGGCAACGGCAACTTGCCCATATGCAGAGCGGGCGGGAGAACACCGCTTGCTCCCAACGCCTTCCACGTGCATCAGGATCAGGAACAGCCGGTGAACCATTCCATGGGCTAAAGGTGATCATCTTGACATATAGGTAGGTAGCCAGTCAGGTAGCCAGAGTTTACTATGTCACCTGTACAATGTGCATCTACATACCGATCCCTCTGTCATGCACGGGCTCAAGACCATCCATGCATGCATGCACTTACCCAGACGGTGAATCGCTGCCAACAGCCAACCTGAACAGATTTCGCTTCAGCCCATGTCACAACGTGTGTACAAACATTCCGAACAGCCGGCCGACAGAGCGTCACGTCTGGCGGTCGAGACCGCCCACCCTGCAACGTTCTGACCTAGTCTTGCTGATCCTTTTTGGAGCGATTTGTTTTTCTTTGGGACGGTGGCTGCTGGCTGCTGCAACAAGTGCGATGGATCAAGTACCGCGGCTTTTCGCAGTCCCGTCGACAGCGAATCAACGTCCATTTCACGGCCCGAGCACATTCATGCCGACAAATGCAAATCTTCTCTCCTCGGCACACTGACTCTACAACAACGCGGTCAGAACACATAGCATGTGCATACTGTGTACGATCGGTCAAATGATTCTCGTCTTCAATAGGTGTATACATCTCTCTCTCTTCAATAGGTGCATTATATATACATGTGTGTGTATGCAGTTGATTGATGTTGCTGCACCTCCCTGTGTATCTTGCACCAGACCAGATGGGATAGGCTTGCTATGGACACGGCAGCTTTACTTTTGTAAAACTCGCTAGATGCAACGGCAAAGTCAACGACAAGCATTCGGGTAAGCGAGCTTATGGAATCTTGCTGGCTCACGATCGGTTGTAGTGGCGAATAGGGCAACACTTGGGCTAGAACTGTGAGCATGTGCTCGGCGGCAGTCTCTCGATAATTCATACAGCGTTGCGGCCAATCAAAGCCTCTCGGACCGTCTGACCTCGACCCATATCTGGTTCATTGTGGATAAGCGTCGTAATCGATAATGCTTTTGCACAGCGACTGTCCAGTGTCCAGTGTCCCGTCCGACGCGGCCTTTTGCCCAATGATGAATCATATCCAATATTGGCTCCATAGTTTCTTCTGCTCGTCTGAGCCGTGGAACTACGTTTCGGTCAGCATGTATCACCAAAAACCTACTCCAGAGGCTGCATCTCGTAGCCAGCCACAATTGCATAATACGTGCCTCAAATGCAGTCGTGATGATATCTGCAAAGCCTTCCGACCTCGTAGGCTCGCGATACCTTGACGCGAAGCCAGAAAATGCAGCTTGCGGCAGCATCTTGCGCTTCTCTGGATTTGTCTGAGAGTATCTGTTAGCATCGGACGTCTTCCGTCTCGCCGTCGCCAGTACGTATCCCCGCTTCTCTACTGCACGTTACTGCCCCATTGGGCTGGTGCAACGGTAATTCCCAGCAGATGTAAGCGAGGCCGACTCGGTGCAATAACAACGTGGAACATTTGAATGTTGGGAAAGCTTACTTCTTGACCAATATTCGATGCGCGGAATGCGTCATTGTGCTGGCACACTTGGACAGGTGCAGTGAAAAGAACACAACGAATAGGAATCTTCAACTTCCGCGCTAGGTTTATCCAGATTGCTCTGGTCTCTGGATCCGCATTCGTATTGTCTGGCAACATTAGCCTACTAACCCCTTGCTCAAGATCCACACCCAAGTTAGCATGGAGTTCCAAGCATGCTTACCGACAACTACACTGGTACCTTGTTCAAGGAGCGTAGTAGCTGCTCTGACACACTTCTCGCGCTGTTTCATAAGGTTACCCACATGCACTGCGAAGGTCACACATGTACAGGCAACGTATTCTAACTTACAGTCTTGAGTATGTCTTGGTTCACTCGTCCGTAGTTGAGCGGCTGCAGATGCTTCCAATAGAACGACGACTTGCCAGCCCCTGGACTGCCGCAAAACAGAACGACTTCAGGACTCTCTGTCTTGCTGAATATCACTACGACTCGAATCAGAGATGCAAGGTCTGAACAGTACGCCCTGCAGCTTGGATAACACATACATGCACTCGTCGGTTTCTCGGCTCGCTCCTTGAGATATTCCACGGGATCGAAGCTTCTCACGAAAGGCCGTCGGTCCTCATGCAGGAAAAACTCTTCCGGGGTATAAAATGATAAGCCGACATTGGCTGCAAAATCTCTAAATGCCATTAGCACGGCTGTACCTGCTCATGCATACCGTTATAGCTAGACAAACCTGTCAACACATGAGTGGTCCTTGCTAACCCCTCCAGCCACAGCTTCACGACCGCCCGCGTCTCCGACAAAGACCGAGTGCTCCAGGTCAAGAGAGTCTGCGCTGTCAAGATCGAATTCTTCGACGATCTCTTGCCATATCCCGGTTCTAGGCTTGCGATATTGGTCTCGGCTGGTTGCAGCGTACAATGTGATTGGTAGATCGAGCTGCTTGAACACTGCAGAGACCTTTGCCTTGAATTCGGCTAGACGCTTTTGATCAGATTTGACGGTTTTTGGGTCTGGTCTCAGGCTTATGCCACCCTGGTTGCTGATTATAGCTAGAAGGTAGCCATCTTGGTGTAACTCTTTCAAACGTGCGGGAACACTGCCATGCCACCACTTCCAATCGCTGGCGTCACGCCCAAAGGTCTTACCGGAAGCAGAAGTAATTAATGTTGAGTCCAGATCAAAGCCAGCGATTCTTCGTTTGCTTGCTGAAGCTGCAGATGTTGCTGTCATGGCACCATACCGCCCAATAAGTAGGCTGTCCTTGAGCACTCTCCACAACATTTTCTCGGGCTCCTGCTTGGATAAGGGTGTGAAGAAGTTCGCAATAACTTTATCTGTATTCACGTTAGTGCAAATCTAGTCAGCCTAAGAGACACAATGTACTCGTCGTTGTGGATTGATGCCGTCGCTTTGATGGAGGTGGAGACACCTCCTTGCCGTTTGAACTAGGCCGCTTTCCCAATGTTGGCCTCTCGGCCATTTCCCAATGTCTGTTTTGGTCGAACTTTCTGGTGAAGGTGATGTATTAGTTGAACATGGCTTGATGCTACCGGTCTGCGAAGACATGGATGAGGTTCGCTTGTTGCTGCCACGAAAGTCTGGCAGGCGCGAGGTACTATCTATCGCGCTAGCACGTGCCCAGCACCGGCAACAAAGCGAACCTTTCCCTGTTAGCAGAATACTCAGGGCGATGAACCACAAACAAATCAGAGCTGTGGTAAGTGGACAATTGTGTTCTCATTTTGATGATAGCATCAAATTCAGACGAAATGCTCATTTTCACATGAGGAATTGAGCCACAGCAAGGATATGTTGGTTGACTGGCAGGGAAATCTCGGCCTGTGTAGGAATAAAGTATTGATTATCAGAATCTTTGGGAGTCCCCAG